AGAAAATAAATGACATTTTTGAGCACATCTCTGATGCAATTAGAATTTTGCGTGAGGTCAAGTTGCTTAGGCTTTTGAGGCACCCTGATATTGTTGAAATCAAACGAATTATGATTCCTCCTTCGAGGCGGGACTTCAAAGATATATATGTTGTTTTTGAGCTTATGGAATCTGATCTTCATCAAGTTATTAAAGCCAATGATGACTTGACACACGAACACCACCGGTTTTTCCTCTACCAGATGCTACGGGCTATGAAATATATGCACACAGGTGATAGTCTGGTCTCCAGTGCATAATTTAAACAATAATGTGGATCTTTGCTCTCTGATTCTGACCTAAAATTATTTTCATTTCAGCCAATGTTTATCATAGAGATCTTAAACCGAAAAATATATTGGCAAATGCAAACTGCAAACTAAAAATATGTGATTTTGGATTAGCAAGGGTGTCGTTCAGTGACACACCTACAACCGTATTTTGGACGGTATGCCTCTTTCTTTGTTTTGCTCATTGTTTTGTGTTTTTATTTATTTATTTACTCCATATTTATTTCCCTGGGATAGTGTGTTTTTTTAGTATCTCAGATTGTCTTCTATTGAACTGCACTGAACTGAAGTGTGTTGCTCATCTCTCTTTCTGTTGCATTTTGCAGGATTATGTTGCTACAAGATGGTATAGGGCTCCTGAGTTATGTGGATCTTTCTTTTCCAAGGTAATTATCTCTTAACCATTTTGCTGACTCCTCTACTTCAGATCCAATATCAACAACTTCCTAGAATATGGTCTTATTATTCCATGTACCAGTGTGATACAGTTGCCTTCGTTTTGTTTTAACTTGCTAGAGTGAATGCTGGGTAGGGAGTCCTTTTTTTTTTTTTTTTTTTTGGGTATTCTGTTTAGATGGTGAGGGACACTGGTGCCTCCTTTGTGGTTATTTCCAGTTGGTCCTTAGTCATCTTTAATCCTTTCTTCCTCACTATTAAGGGCTTTATATCAGTCTATACAGTATTCATTAAGGAGTTTTATTTACAGCTTACATTTTTTGTGTCCCTGTGTATCATTTTAAATCTTACTAGTCTTTTAGAATTCAACGCGTATTTTCTTAGTGCATTAAGTAGTAATGTATAGATAACAATTCTTGTTCAGGGAGGACTATTGAACTCTCCTGGAAGTTGAATTTTCTATTATTCAGGTAATTGTGTCGGGTCTTGGGTCAAATATTTAGCAATATTTCAGTTCTTTGTTGATTGTTCTTTGTGCTTTTTTGCAGTATACTCCTGCTATTGATATTTGGAGCATTGGCTGTATCTTTGCGGAGGTACTGACTGGGAAACCACTATTCCCGGGTAAAAGTGTTGTTCATCAGTTGGAATTGATCACTGATCTTCTCGGGTCACCATCACCAGAAACCGTTTCCGGGGTAAATGGCATGGCAGTGTGCTGTTTGTTATATGCTGCTGGTATATTTGGTCTTTCGAGTATTATATTGAAATAATATTTTTTTGATGATTTAAGGTTCGTAATGATAAGGCAAGAAAATATCTGATGGATATGCGCAAAAAGAACCCGATTCCTTTTAGTGAGAAATTTAAAGGTGTAGATCCATTGGCACTTCGACTATTGCAGAGGTTGTTGGCATTTGATCCCAAGGATCGGCCAACTGCTGAACAGGTAAATTTGTAACGTAAGATTTGGTGGTCTTCTTCTGTTTCATTTTACCTGCTTACTGATCTTTGCAACTCCCGTGATTTCGATTTCTTTAGGCATTGGCTGATCCTTACTTTAAAGGACTATCTAAGATTGAGCGAGAACCTTCTTGTCAACAAATCTCTAAGTTGGAATTTGAGTTTGAACGTCGGAGGCTGACAAAGGAGGACATCCGAGAATTAATATTTAGGGAGATACTCGAATATCATCCCCAACTTTTGAAGGACTACATGTCTGGAAACGATTCAAATTACCTTTACCCTAGGTCTCTAATTTTTACTGTGTTGCATAATACCTTGCCACAATGTCTATTTTCCGTGGACACTTAACGATAATTATCATTTGCAAATGCAGCGCTCTTGGTCATTTTAGAAGGCAGTTTACTTATCTTGAAGAAAAGAGTGGTAAAAGCGGGCCTGTTATTCCTCCTGAAAGAAAGCATTTATCTCTTCCACGGTAAGATTATTTTTCAGTCTGTCCGTGCTCATTTCTGTCATTTTTTACTTGCCACGAAGAATTGTTGGTGGGATTTCGCAATAAATAATATTAAATTTGTGCAGCTCTACGATTAATTCTAGTACCATCCCTCCGAAAACACAACCAAGTTTGTCTGTTTTTGATCATCGCCGAGCGAGTGAAGAGGTGTCTGCCGGTGTTAGAGTTACAGCGACTGTATCTAACAATCTACCCAAGCCTTCACGACCACCACCAAGAGTGCCAGCAGGAGCAGCAGCAGCAGGTATCGTAAATTTGTCAAATTTGGATCTTATAATCCCAACAACATGTGGGCATGCTCTTTAATTTCTCAACCCGGCTTATCTGGCGAATTTTTCAGCTAAACCAGGGCGAGTTGTAGGCCCGGTTTTACCACTCGAGAGCGATAGAGCTATCAAAGATGTGCATAATGGACACGCTTATTCTCAGAACCCTGTCCTTCCCTCACAGGGAATATCCCCACATTATGCAGCGTTCAGGACTAACTCGGGAAAGAACCAAGAAAAATATGGAGCAGAAGTCGCAAAAGCGTCCTCTCAGATCAGAGTACCGCACATGCTGCAGCAGTCTGATGCAAAGCTAACCCAGAAAACAAACAATGGGGGCGTCATTAACAGCAACCCATATTACCAGGCGCAAGCTAACGTGGGCCAGCTGAATAGCCAGATGGTCGCTCTCGACGCCAAACTTATGCAGGCGCAATCTCAGTTCGGAGCGGTTGCCGCTCACCGAGAGGTTGGTGCTGTTCAGTATGGTCTGACTTAGCAATCTGTTAGTTGATTTGATTGATCATTCCTAAGAGGAGTATCCTTGTTTAGATATAGACATGAAAAATTTGAAGAGGAATGAAGCCTCCCCGCAATATGTCTCTGCGGTTTAGTTAGCTCGTCGTGTGAAAATCATTCATTTTAGGGTACCCTCTTTTGATGAGTAACTACATATTTATGCCCCCCCATGTAAAGTCAAGTATTGTATCATTGATTCTCCATGAATAAAAATCATTCTCTTTCATTGACATATGCTAGGATCCACTAAGCAAAATGTGTGCATCTCAATTTACGTCAGATTAATTCTAAACTCCTTGAGTTTCTGTCCACGAGCCACTAGATAGGGTAAATCACGAGTGATCCCGTTAGTCTAAATTTTCATCTTTTCTTGTATACCCTGTGCACAAGAGGTCTTCATCTTCTTTGATCGATCGAGGTCTGATGATCTTAAGTTCCCAGTGAAATTTGAATTCCACTCTATTGCTGAAGTGAGACTTGTAATTGGTTGAACCAACTTGGCAAATTATTGTTGTTCATGAATATGATGTCTTGAGTTATTCCCTGCAGATGCAGGACAACATTCTGAAAATATGCCTGACCTCTTCTCCATACATCAACAGCTTCTGTAACTCTTAACACCAACAGAGTTTTCTGTCATCAAACACGGACAAATTTGGTTTGTGTTTTTGGAGTTTCTTTTTGTGATGAGCATCTTGTTTAATGACAGTAATTAATCAAAGAAAATAGGATGGATAAACTCATAAATAATCTTACCGGACATGCTTCAATTCCTCTTAGGAGAAATCATGGTATGTCTTTCAATTTGGAATAAGGGTCAAATAGGCCACGAACTGCACACGATAAAACAATTAGGCCACTGAACCTAAAAAAAAACAATTAGGTCCCTAAACTAATCAATTTCAAACAATTCTTCCAATTTGAAGGTTTCCAACAGGTCAACAGGTCATTTCCCAAATTAATTATTTTTTTTAAAAAATAAATTTTAAAAATTAATTAATTTTAAATTAAACTAAAAAAAAAAAAAAAAAAAAACTGGAATCCAGCCGGAGACGAAGAGTTTCTTCGTCTCCGGCCGTGGAGACGTAGAAACCGGTCTGAGACGGTCGTCTCCGGCCGGAACAGTTTTTTTTTTTTTTTTTTTTTTAAGTTTAATTTAAAATTAATTAATTTTTAAATTTTAAATTTTAAAAAATAATTAATTTGGAAGGATGACCTGTTGACCGGTTGGAAACCTTCAAATTGAAAAAATTGTTTGAAATTGATTAGTTTAGGGACCTAATTGTTGGTTTTTTTTTAAGTTCAGTGGCCTAATTGTTTTATCGGGTGCAGTTCGATGGCCTATTTGGCCCTTATTCCCTTTCAATTTTTTAGCTAAACCAGACAGAGTCTATTGTCCCAAAGGCTCTCACATTCCGACACGACATGATCGTGGAGAGGCAAATCACAGGTTAGGTGAGAGGAATAGTGCCTGGTGCCACAAAAGTCCACGCCCTAAAGGCTCTCGCAAGGATAAATCACGCGGATTCAACGACTTATTAGGTGAGAGAATCAGTGCCTAGTGCCCATAAGATCCCAGTTTATTTTTAATACTTATGCGATCCCAGTTTCACCGGACTAATTCTAAACCCATAAGATCGTGCCCCTAGAATCACTGCAGAGATAAATCTCAAGTTGTGCAATAGTTCACCAGTCACACCTTAGTCTTCATGCAGCATAAGAAATCCAATTCACACTTTTCATCATTCTCGAATTATTTTACATTCATTTTTCAGCAGGATTCAGACCTCATATTGCCCCGTGCAATCGTGACATCAAATCAGATGAAGAACGAACCATTACAGTAAGCCTCAGGACTTTAATTATCTATCCTTGATGGGTTTTTTTTTCCTCTCTGATCTCTCACCCCTAATTTTTTTTTTAAAAAAAAGTAGTGCATGCATATGGCATTTAATTAGCTGAAACGTCAACTTCAACGTGGTTATAATGCAGACGCTCCTCCATTACCATTTATATTTCACTTAATTATATATGAATGTGCAGTGTTGATTAACACTGAGTATCTCGTGAAGATCAGAAGATGAATTATGATTCCCCAACGGTGCGTAAATGCAAACGGCTATGAATCAGAATGACATCTGACAGCGACTCAAGAAACTCATTTCTTCTTCACAAGAACCCAACGTCTACCTACCATTCAATTCCCTCTTAAGCCATGCGCGCTGGATTTTCTGAGTGAATGAATTGAATTGAAGATGGAGGCGTTATGGAATTTGGAAGATAAATGGAAGGTGTCAACGAAGGCGGCAGCCGCCATTGCGTTGTGCGCGTGCGCCGCCGCTTCTCTGCTCCTCGCGGCGGTCTGGGTCGTGCTGCGGCGGGGGAATGGGGCGGCGGAAGTTGTAGAAGACGGCGGCGGCGGCGGCGGGGAGGAGGTGAAGAAGTTGCTTATGAGGTCGGTGCGGTGGAGCGGCGCGTGTAAGTGGGAGGAGAAGAGGCGGCGGAGGGGGAGGGTGTCGATGTCGCCACTGCTCGCGGCGGAGGTGGGGTGGCAGAGCAACAACTCCGATTCGCCGGTGTGGCAACGGCCGATACTCATGGGGGAGAAATGTGAGCTCCCAAGCTTCAGTGGCCTCATTCTCTATGACGATGAAGGCAGACCTCTTCACAATAATTCTTCACCTCATCATCACCAGGTAACAAAACTAGATTTACCTGGTTCATATATATGGTCCAAAGTATATATATATATATATTATATATATATATAGTCATATGAGGACAAAGTATATTATAGAGGACTATGGGGACAGATGTAGTGTGTGCTATTAGCCGATATATCGTGTGCATGGCCGAATGTAGTCGTGTGCCACAGTTTGTATGTTCCGTGCTAGATTTGTTAATTTATAGAGCTGGGTTCGAAACCTGATGTTTACATTTATTCTTGTGCCCATTATTTGTCCTCACAATCCTCTATATATTGTTATCTCATTTGAACTCAACCATATATATATATATATATATATATATATATATATATATAATCATGAATAATAATTTATAACATCATAAGTTATCACGTATGTATTTAACTGTTCGTAAAGTTATACTTTATACTTTACAAGTTGTACTCTTTCTATATTTTATGTGTTTCGAATGAAGCACAAAGTGGGTCCCACCCACCAGCGCTCTAGCCCCAGCATTCACAACATGATAGTATACTTAATTGTATTAGATATTATTGACATTTGTACTAGTATACTAATAATATAAGTATAACAAATAATTTTTTTATATAATTGCATTTGGTATTATGTTACTTAGAAAATCTCAAACCTTAGCTTAATGTTATTATTATTATTTTTTTTTTTCAGGTTGACATGTCTGCTGGCATCGAGAGAGTTACTCTGAAGGAGTTGTTGTAATTTGCACCCTAATCTCATCCTATCTTCATGCATGTAGAGACAAAAATGTTTTCCCCTTCCAAAATGATAATTTGCTATTTTAAAAATGGTACATTTACCTCATATTTGGCATGTTACTATTAAGTATTCTCAAAGCAACGCGTGATAAAATAATCAAAAACTTAAAATTTATAGTTTAAAATTAAGTTTTCAACCATTTGAGAATCTAAAAAAATATTCATAACTATTTTCGACTACTCCTTCAAAGTACTCATCTTGCTCTTAATAGCGCTATGAGCTAATTAATTTCACCCTTAGAGCAACCACATTAGTGCACGCATCTAATTAGGTGCGCATCACGCAAGGCCTTGGCAAAACAATTCATTTTTTTGTGAGTCCCATACAAAATTGTCATTAATAACTGTAATTTTTTTTTCATCTCTCTCTTCCACATAGACGACATTAAAGCTTCACAAACCAAAAAAAAAAAAAAAAAAAAAAAAAAAACTTTTAATGGATTACAAAGGCAAAATCCCTAGCACTCACCCACTCGGGTCTTACACTTCGGCCCGTTACAATGTAATATCTGTAGCACAAGAGTCAATGCTCCCGCTAGAGTTCAAACCTATAACCTTCTATTTAGAAGAGTCACAGTCATGTCGCTCAACCACAAGGTCTTTAGCATGCATGAGTCAATACAATGTTTACTAGCCTCGTAATGGGTTAAACATTATTGTTGTACCTAATAAATATTGCAAGTTCAATTCTTTATTATTAATATTTTCCTCGTCGAGCCTAATATGATCTTCCTAGTACAATTTACTTGTCACTATGATTTGTTATATAGAGTTTACTACACCATATATTACCATGTAATTTTGAGTTGGTCCAAGTGTCTAAGACATAAAAAAAAAAAAAAATTGAATAAAAACTAGTTGAGAGTACGAACTTGTTTTATATATAGCCATTACTTTCAGCCTTGTAATAATATATACACATACCATCCACCAATTTTTATTTTGTAAAACTAAATATTTAAAATGAAAAACCCAAACATAAAAGCTTTCAATCGTACAAACAACAAATTGCTTTACGTTACACCATATTCGAGGTTTATTTGTTTGTATAAATGTGATGAATAATTTGCAAAGAGTATATTTGTTGAAAAAATTAATTAACATTTTTGGTGTTACATGAAATCATAACAATAAAATTATTAAGAAAGTAATTATTTAAAACATTTAATTTATTAAAACTTTTATAGGAGTAGTTTTTAAATATCTAATATACATTTATCACATATAAGCATAAATTACTAACTCGTATTATTAACATGATTAAAAAAAAAAAAAAACTTTGCATAAAAAAGGATAAATATATAATTGAATAAGTTTTATATTTTTCATGTACCTCGGAAACATAATCATACTCTCTATATGCTTATATTTTTTTTATTTAAAAAAATATAATTCTTAGTTGACCCCAAGTTTTCAAGTTAAAGGTTTTACCAAACATTGGAATAATTTTTCCACATTTAAAATTATCAGAAAAGTTGAAACTTTCATAATTACCAAACATATACACTACGTAATGAGTTTCATTAAAGCATAAGGTTAATTCTATTTTAATTTCCTAAATATATTGACAATTTGAGACTAACTTTAGACTTTTAATTAAGACACATTTGGTTCTCTATTTAAAATTCATCAATTTTTAGACCCTCGATCATACAATAATGCGTGAAAACTTTTACGTGTTTTTGAAAGGTACAACCTAAGAAATTTATATAAACGACATAAAAGGATCATTTTCCTAATGTACTGAAGAAAAAAATATATTTCCTAAAAAAACTGATAACAATTAGGGAGTAATATAATATTTATGTATAATATTTATAGTTTTACTATTTGCAGAGATCGAGCCGTACATCATTCCAGTGGACCTAAAAGATTTTTATAAGCATTGCATGTTTTTTACTTCTTTTTTTTTTGGTTTTGTTTTCTGAAATCAATTTATATTGGTTTCTTGTATTGGAGTGAAGACCAAAATTAAAGAAACAATTAAGAAAAGTACGCGTGAGACGCATGCAATTTTGGGTGGGATCTGCGTGTTTTGCCTCCCACCTGATGCGTATATATATCTGCAGAGGCTTTCTTCACTTTCCTCCTCACTCCTCAGCTCCTTAGCTTCTTCAACCTCATCACATCCGAGCTGACTTCACCAGGCAGCTGTGAGTCAATTTTCTCTTCTCTTATTTATAGTTTTCAAGATTGTGTTTTTGCTGCCATTGCTTCAATTCTTTCTGATCAAGTTTTGTTTTTTAGCCTTACTTGTCTTTAATTTCATCTTCATGTATTGTATATTTGTATGTGCGATTATGAATTGCTTGTGAGTAATGGGTTAGCCATGTCTTCTGTGCCTACATGATCAGTTCAGTTGGTACTCAGATAATAGATGAATTACATCTAATATGGTGGGATTGGTGGGTTCCGATTTACATCTAATATGGTGGGATTGGTGGATTTCTCGTAAACACCATACACTGGTCCTCTCACTTAAAAGACACCGTGATTTACTGCTCCACTATCTTATCGTGCAGAACTATGCTCTCTTGCTAGATCTAGGGTCCTTATTTTTTAATATTAAGTGATATATACTACATGTGCTCCTGCTTCTTAGTTCTTACCCAGTTTTTTTTTTTACCTTTGTTAATGCTAATTAATTCTAGAAAAAAGTGGGTCATGGTTTATTTTCGTGGGCTCTTCTTGCCCGTCAATAAAAGTTAGACATGTGGTCAAAGTTTTACCTTTGAATAGTATACATATTTTTTTCCATTGAAATTTCTGGTTGATTGTGTAATCGTACCATATGGTTCATATATCCAAAAAAAAAAAAGCAGATTTATGTGACCTTTCCTTTTCATGTATTTACTCTTTTGACTATTTGGGGTCACTTGTACACCAGAAAACATTTCTAGAAGTAAGGAACATAGAAAAGTGAAACACTAGTTGCATGTGATTTGTATTAGTTAAGGATTTGGAACACCTGTTTTCTGCCTGTCTGCCTGCAGTCTGCTGTTGTTATTACTCTGAATCTGAAGTGATGATTCTGGCAACTTATTGCCAAGTTAAACTCAATTTTCTGCTGGAATGTAGAAGATATAGTTTGCTTGCATTTGTGGTCAAGAATCTTTTCCAGTTCAGAATCTGATGTATATCTGAAAATTGTTTGTTGTTGTACATAGAAGCTCGGTTAAGATGGAAGCTTATACCCCAAAGAACATCCTTGTCACCGGAGCTGCCGGATTCATTGCATCCCATGTTGCAAACAGGCTTATCAGGAACTACCCAGATTACAAGATTGTTGTTCTTGATAAGCTTGACTACTGCTCAAACCTCAAGAACCTTCTGCCCTCGAGCTCGTCCCCTAACTTCAAGTTTGTCAAGGGAGATATCGGGAGTGCTGATCTTGTAAACCACATTCTCGTCACCGAGTCCATTGACACCATAATGCATTTTGCAGCTCAGACCCATGTTGACAACTCCTTTGGCAACAGCTTTGAGTTCACCAAGAACAACATTTATGGCACTCATGTTCTCTTGGAGGCCTGCAAGGTTACTGGTCAGATCAAGCGGTTCATTCATGTCAGCACGGATGAGGTCTATGGGGAGACTGAGGAGGACGCCATCGTGGGAAACCATGAAGCCTCGCAGCTTCTTCCCACGAACCCATATTCTGCTACAAAAGCCGGGGCAGAAATGCTGGTTATGGCTTATGGAAGGTCATACGGCTTGCCTGTAATAACCACCCGAGGGAATAATGTGTACGGCCCCAACCAGTTCCCTGAGAAGCTAATCCCTAAGTTCATTCTTTTAGCCATGCAGGGGAAGACTCTCCCTATTCATGGAGATGGTTCTAACGTCAGGAGCTATCTTTACTGTGAGGATGTTGCAGAGGCTTTCGAGGTGGTTCTTCACAGGGGAGAGCTTGGTCATGTATACAACATCGGGACAAAGAAGGAGAGGAGAGTGACCGATGTTGCTAGAGATATATGCCGTCATTTTGGGATGGACCCAGAAACAAAAATCAAGTTTGTGGAGAACAGGCCATTCAATGACCAGAGATACTACTTAGATGATCAAAAGCTGAAGAAACTGGGTTGGTCAGAGAGAACCACATGGGAGCAAGGGTTGAAGAAGACAATTGAATGGTATACCAGCAACCCTGATTGGTGGGGGGATGTGTCTTGTGCATTGGTTCCCCATCCCAGAATGCTAATGATGCCTGGAAGGATAGAAAAACATGTTAATGGTTCTGAATCTAACATCCCCAGGAGGCCAAACCCAACACACATGGTAGTAGTTCCAGCACACAAAAGCAACAACAACTCAGTTCAGAAGCAGACTTACAAGTTTTTGATCTATGGCAGAACTGGGTGGATTGGTGGTATGCTTGGCAAGTTGTGCGAGAAACAGGGAATTCCCTATGAATATGGAAGGGGGCGTCTGGAGGACCGCTCTCAGCTTTTGGCTGACTTACGGTCTGCAAAGCCCACTCATGTGTTCAATGCTGCAGGCATCACTGGCAGACCCAATATTGACTGGTGTGAAACTCACAAGACAGAAACAATCCGCACCAATGTTGTTGGTCTATTGACTTTAGCAGATGTATGCAGAGACCACAATCTGTTGTTGGTGAACTTCGCCACTGGCTGCATATTTGAATACGATGCTGCACACCCTCAAGGTTCTGGGATTGGATTCAAGGAGAAAGACAAAGCAAACTTCATAGGTTCTTTCTATTCAAAGACCAAGGCCATGGTAAACTTACTTGTCTGTCTTCCGGTTTTCTTTAGCTCTGTTGCATGTATTCATGCTCTTGTTCTTATTTTCTTCAACCAGGTGGAAGAGCTCATTACAGAATATGATAATGTCTGCACCCTCAGAGTTCGTATGCCAATATCTTCAGACCTCAGCAACCCTCGCAACTTCATCTGCAAAATCTCTCACTATGATAAGGTCGTGAACATTCCCAACAGCATGAGCATCTTAGATGAGCTTCTCCCAATTTCCATTGAGATGGCAAAGCGTAACCTCAGGGGGATATGGAACTTCACAAACCCCGGGGTTGTTACCCATAATGAGATTCTGGAGATGTACAGAGAGTATATAGATCCACAATTTCGTTGGACCAACTTCACACTGGAAGAGCAGGCAAAGGTGATCATCGCACCTCGAAGTAACAATGAGATGGATGCATCCAAATTGAAGAAAGAGTTCCCTCAACTGCTACCAATCAAGGAATCTCTTATCAAGTATGTCTTTGAACCAAACAGGAAAACCCCAGCAAAATAAGTTCTCAAGATTTTCAACCAATTATCCTTCTGGGTCCAGGATTCATGACCTAGCAGCCTAAGTTATCATTCTTAAATTCAGCCTTCTTCTTTTGCTTTTGCTTTTATTGAAATCTTGATAGTGGTTAGAGTGCCAATAAGTGCAGAATAATTTGCCACTTTTCAGAAATACAGAATGTTCTATAGTGGCTGTATTAGGGTGTATTTGTTGTCTTATGGCAGTGTGTGAGAGGATGTAATGCTTAAATCTCAATCCAATTGGTAATCTTGGCATAAACACCAAAAGCAAAAGATAATAATATCAAAGCAAATCATTGACCTTTTCACATTGATGAAAATCAAGATTCTGCAAACAGATAAATACTATAAACACATTTTAATTACAAATTCATCTAGCCATTCAGCATTGTAATTGAGGAACAAGTTTGTAAACACCTAAAGAAAACATACACCAATCACCTCACTAGCAATCCTTCAGTTAACCTTGAACAAAAACAAGAAAGATGTTAGAAGATCAAAGTAAATCTGATCAGAAATGATATGGATGCATTTGCAAGGTGGAAATGTCAAGGCGATGAAACATACCATGCAGCTGTTAACTTGATTCAATGAGAAGCGGTAATGCATAGTTGCTGTTGGATGAGTTGGGTTCTGATACATGAAATTTAACTCTGTTACTTGGGTACTATGATACATCTACGAAAGCATGAAGAGACCAAAATGTTTTTCATGGAAATATGGGGAGAAAGAATCTAAGTACCTTCTGCTTCTAAACGCAACCAGTCTTGACCACATACTAAAGCTTCCCGAATATCAGAACTGAGTGAACTCTTATGCTGGTCAAGCATTCTAACTTTATTGCTAAATGCTAACTCTGGTCCAAGTGTGGATGCAGGAACTCCCAATACATCACGCGCAATCATAGATAATATTGGGTACCTAGGAGTGTGAACTTTCCACCAATTCAATATTTTGAAATCATAGTTGCGTGGAAACACTGACTCTTCCAAATACTTGTCTAAATCTGATGGCACACTCTGATTTTGTGAGGATTCATGCAGAAATTTGTCAAAGCCCCTCAGTCTATCCCTAGTTCCAGTACTGCTGCTAGGTAAGCTTCCAGGCCCAGGTGGATCTTGATCAAGTGAAGTTGAACCTATTGCATACTCATTGAAAAGCTGCCTTACAGCATCAGATACTGCTTTGATGTGATTTGGCGCATCACTACCATAAATCTGAGGATAATAATACTCGACCAACTTCATCTTGAATCTAGGATCCAAGATAGCAGCTATTGCTAAAGATTGACTACACTTATTCCAATACTGGTCAAACTTGGCTTTCATCTTGGTTGCAATATCACCAAGAAACTCATCAGCACTTTTGCACCACTCTGTTAATTGGATGTGAATATCACATATCTCTGGGAAATATACATTAGCTGTTAAATATTTGCTTCCAGTGAAAATCTTAGTAACTTCAACTAAAAGTTTTACATAACCAGTAACAGAACTTAACCATTCCCACTCTGTTTCAGATAGACTTATTTTGTAGTCAGCATCATTCTCTTGCAGGAGAGAGAAGGCACCCCTATATTCTAGTGCTGTTTCAAGCATTGTATAGGTTGAATGCCATTGCATTGGATAGTCGAGAACTAGATGCCTCTCAGTATTTATCCCAACTTGCCGGGCAATCTCATTGAATTTTCCTAGGGTTATTTGTGAACTTTTGACATGCCTTATACTTTCTCGAATCTTGTGGGTCAAACCTCGAAGTGCTTCCATGGCATCTAGAACTATAGATTTCAAAACATTTGATGCACAACGCACATCAAATAACTCACCATTCTTTAAAAGAGGCTTGTTTTGAGATAGCCAGTCTTTGATTCTAAAGACCATCTCATCGTAGCCTGAACATTCATCAAAAGTCATAGAAAACAACTTCCGGTCAATAGCCCAGTCAGTCAAACATTTAATGACAACTTCTGAAAGTAGGTCATCTGTATCAGCAGTGTTCAGTGTCACAAAATTCAGTATCTTCTTCCGCAGCTTCCAATCTTCATCGATATAGTAAGCTGTCAGACACAGATACCTTGCACTGTCAGCTGATACCCAGATGTCAGCAACAAGACTAATTCTCCCATGCAAATTGTGTATTTCTTCATAAATTTTCTGTTTCTCTTTAGCATAGATTGTCATACAGTCAAGTTCAATGGCACTATTATTCATGACCTCAAATAATGGTTGCAAATTCTTCACAAATATTTTGAGTCCAACATGTTCAACCATGGCCAGTGGATAGCCATGTAACATAATCATGCGAGCAAAATCAAGTCGACTCCGCTCTTGGTCAAATTTAACACTCCCAAGGTTGAAAGGGATATTGCTTTCTTCCTTCTTTGGCTCTTGATCAAATTTGTAACTTATGGGGGAAATGATTTCTTCTTTTCTTTGCCCTTCTTCATAGGTGACACTAGCAACAGCAAGGGCAGTATCCTTTCTCTTTCTCTTTGCTGCAAGTATTTGAGAAACATCATAATTGGATCTCTTCAGACACCTTATCAGATGATTTCTCAGATGAGTTGTCCCACTGTTACTTGATCCGCTAAGTTTCTTTTTGCAGTGTACACAAACAGCATAACAAATTTCTCCCTTTCTAACTCTTTCAAAGTGATTCCATACAACAGACGTCAACCGCTTTGGTCTCTTAGCTGGGGCCTCGCTTGAAATTTCCATCGCATGGAACAAATGCTATTTAATCCAACCTGCCTTTCAACCCCAAAAAAAACGTATCAGAGCATTGTTTTTAATTTTTTTACCACAACGCAACAAACCTATCTATTAGATATATAAAAGTAAGTAGACGATATCTAAGAAAGTGGAGCATCCAGTGACCATTTTGACACATAATAAGTGCATTTATACATACATTTTCTTAAGTAAACATGCAGATGGCCCAAAGTATACACCTTGTGATTCAAAGTTCAATCATGAAATACAATTCTCTGCTTGTCTATATGAATGCGCTTGTGTGTATATGCTTTATACAATCACTACCGACAGGTCCCTGAAGTCTTAACACATTCAAGGACACAATAATGAGAGCAAGCAGAAATCATGACCCTTAAATAAAAAACCAAGCTTCATACCAAACAAGTGATTCTCTATACTAATAACATATATCTGAAGCAACAACCATCTATTTAGTCTCTACTTAACACAGTAACACTCCCATGGCACTAGTTCAAAGCCCTGTCAGCAGTCGAGATGTACTTAAATGCAACCATACATGCATGCATATACTCATATAAATAAATAAAATGAAGGCAAAAGCAAAATAGAAATCCAGACACTAATTTGGAAACCATAGAGTTAATCAAATTTTACATTGAATAAAAACTAGAAAATTAACTTTCATAACAAATTAACAACAAGAAAAGCTAAATTAACAATTAGTATGACATAACAAAAAATAAAATAAAATTTGCAACTGAGCTTTTCAACTAGTCATAGCAAAAGAAATCCAGCAAAAAACAGAGGTTAAAGCTGAAGTTTTTGTAAGCAAGTTGGGAGGTGATCGGAACAGATATCGGACCTGGAGGTGAATGTCTGTGTTTGCCGGGGCTCCGGTGACGCTTGGCGGAGATCGGATCGTCCGATCCGAGATAGATAAGGGTAGGGTTTGGATTTGGATGTGAAAATAAGGATATGAGTAACTGGGGAAGATTCGGAAAATGCCCGACTTGGAATTGGATATTGGGCTTGGGCGGGTCAGCCGGTCAGGTCAACGTTGTAATCTTTCATCTGCGAGTTGGGTTTAGATTTAACCCAAATTTGGATGGTTGGGTTTAGGGTTAGGGCGTACCGCGTCCGATTTGGGTCTGGGAATTTGGGGATCGGATCCTGAATTTTCTTTTTTTTTTTTTAGTTAATTATATTCATTTTCTCTCGCTAAAACAATAAACAAGATATACTCCGTAATATTTTTGAGCTATAACACACCATTTTTAGTTATTTTTGTAATTACAATTATAAAATAGAGTAAATTTGTATTTATTTGTTCATATTATTGAACACCATATATTATATACAAGTCTCATCATCGATTATTGTACTATTTATTATGGAATGTTTGGTAAATAGTTATCAACTGATTGAGTTACTGGGTTTGACAAGTTGATAACAATAGCTTATTGTAAAAAAGTATTTGGTAAATTAGTTCTTAACTGATAACTTATTACATGTAAAATGACTTTTTTCTCAAAACACTGATGGAAAAAGTTATTTTGAGTAGGTTTTTAAATTTTAACATTTTAAAGCAATAAATTGTTACAAAAAACTAATTAATTAAACACTCATATTAATTATTCCACCAAGTCAAACAATTAATAGTGACCAAATAAACTAAAATTAGTTGATAACATCCTTTTAAAGAATAATTTATAAGTTGCTATTACAAAGATTATATTACCCAAAAAAAAAAAAAAAAAAAAAAGCAAGTATTGACAATAATTAAACTCTAACGTTAATCGGTAAAAAACTACATAAAAATAAAATAACATATAAATTGTTCAATATGTGAATGTCTATAAAGTAAATAAATTATCATAGATGACTCAAATAATGGACCATAATAATGTAAAGTAATTTAAGTTACTTATATTTGGGTGGCTCAAATGAATAAGTCAAACTTAAAATTTTCTACTTACTATTCATCAATCCAACTACATAACTAATTTGGTTAAGAATACCTAGAATTTTCGAAATGATAACATTCTAAAAAATAAGAACTTGAGAAAGGTTTTCAAACCGTCTCTACAATTAATTAAAATTACGTAACCGTACCATTATAGGCTCACAGGAGAAAGCTAGAAAAGGAAGGAAAAAAAAAAAACACTAACAATGGCGAGAAGAAGATTTCTGCTGTTGTTGAAACCTTTCGACGCGTACCCATCTCTCCACCGCAATGGTCTCTCGTCGCGCGTCACGAACCCTAAGGTGATTCCATATTTCGCAACAAATAGAACTCATTTCTAAACCCCTTTTTTTTCCATTCTACATCACGATTTTACGTAAGAACCACTTTCATTCATTACGTGTTTGATAATATGCCAAAGCCACTCGAAAGTGAAAATAATGGAGCCAGAGTTTCTGAACTGAACTGGGTGTACTGATATGATTCCACTGTATGAGTTTCCCTATGTTAATGATGTGTGTTGAAAATGTGGCCTTGAATCACCATCAAAGTCTCACCTTTAAGTTATTGCAGGTACTAAAGCATCTAGACAACAGGCGTTTGGTTCACAAGGAAGCTATAAATTTCTGTCAGAATGTTTTGAGGAATAAGTTTGTTGATTGCATACCAGTCTCCCGCCATGACCTACAGCCGATTCGAGATGTAGATCTAGTTATTACTATAGGAGGCGATGGTACATTATTACAGGGAAGCCATTTTTTGGATGATAAAATTCCGGTTCTTGGAGTGAATTCTGATCCAACTCAGGCAAGAGAGGTTAGTTGCTGCTTTCATAATCATGGGAGTCCTGGATTTAATTATTTCTTAAACCTTTGTGTCCCTAAATTGATCTCTCAAGCTCAAAACGACCCTTTTGCTAAAAGAAATACTTGTGTGGTGCAGGTCAATGAAGATTTTGATGCTACAAGGAGCACTGGCTATCTTTGTGCAGCTACTGTTGATAACTTTGAACAAGTAAGCCAGTTTACTCAATAGCCTTTGCTATTATATTGGCTTTTAGGGGTCACGATGGGATTATATATTGGGCATCTAAGTTTGCATAACACAGAATTCACATATGCATGCTAGAAAGTTAGATGAGAACTCACCTTTCTCAAATATATTTTTCGATGCAGATATTAGATGATATTCTCGAGAATCGTTCCAAGCCTTCAGAAGTTTCAAGGATGTTAATTCGTCTCAATTCACAACAGCTGCCAACTTATGCTCTTAATGATATATTGATTGCCCATCCTTGTCCTGCAACAGTTTCGCGGTTCTCATTCAGGCAAGTGTTCTTTTATAGTATCAATCAAAGTTACAAACAGCTTATATGTGGTTCCTAAAGATTACACTAGTTTAATAAACTCTCTTAATATTTGACAGAATCAAGAAAGACGACCAGCCTTGTTCCCCTTTGATTAATTGCAGATCAAGTGGTTTACGAGTGTCAACAGCTGCTGGATCAACAGCAGCTATGCTCTCAGCAGGTGGATTTGCTATGCCTATTCTATCCAAGGAGCTCCAGTATATCGTAAGGGAGCCCATTGCTCCTGGAGCAAGCCATGGATTCATGCACGGAGTTATGAAGCACAATGAATTAATGGAGATTGCGTGGCACTGTAAAGAGGGGATAATCTATGTTGATGGTTCCCATGTTGTTTATCCTGTCCAACATGGGGACACAGTTTTACTATCTTCACAGACTCCCACGTTGAAAGTCTTTTTGCCTTCCCGTTTGTTGTCATGACTCATGAGTGTGTATATGTATATATGCACCAAAAAAAATAAATTTTTGTATAGGTATAACATGTGGGCTTGGAAACTGAAATGAGGATTATATTTCTGAAACATGGAGCATAAATTTCTTGTGTCATACCCAGTTTATATTGTTTCTTGCCACTTTTTTGTTTGTTTAAGAAATAGAACAAAAATTGCTACATTTCTATGGTAATACCTTGATATCCGGTAATCACGATGAGCTTCCAAACCATTGGTACCTTAATGAACATGAGTATTTTCCTGGAATAATATGCACGAACCTCTTGTCTACAACCTGGAAAATGAGCTCAGTATGAGTAATGCAAAAAGTGCAGATGGGGATCCATCACTGCTAAACTTGTGGCTTACGTGAACATTTGGGGCTGACCGCGAGAGAGCCTAGGCTTCTTTATGGGGGAAAGGATGAGGTTCCTAAGGGTCATTGAAGGATTGCTACCCCCAGTTCCAGTTGCAGTTCCAAGGCTGAACATGGGACGAGCACCAGCCGTTCTGTTTCCAGTATCCCTTGGAATTCCTGATTGCTTCGCAGGCGAGCCACTGGATATCTCAAAGGGGCCAGAGTTTGAACTGTGTTGTCTTGCTGGAGGTGGCCATATATCTTCTCTTGGCCCTGGAGTGTCAGGAGTGGCAACGGACCAATCTGCAAGAGATAAGTCAACTAGTATTTCTTGGGTATATGAAACAGATAAACTTCTGTTTAGCTAACTGAATATCACCCTTATAAAACAGAATGGAAACCTTTTCTCATATGAATATGATCTCTATTATTCATCATATTAGCAGCATTTGAGAAGAGTTCAGGCTCCGTTCTTGAGTACATATTGGGTACTGCAGGACGAATGGCAGACCGCTTCACTGATTCATATTCAGTTCTCAGTTGATCATACATTTCATCAAGTTTTCTCTTTTGCCTGACAGTTTTGGGTTAGTAAGTTACTCCATATAGTGTAAAGTTCAAATATTTATGCTTCATAATGATGAAACCTCTCACCTGCATTTTTCAGAAAACTTTTCTTGAAGCTCTTTCTTGTCCTTGCACAGGTTCTCAAGCTCTTGTTCCATCATTTGGCACCTCTTACCCATCTTCTGATATGCAGTTTGCACTTGCTCAAACTTTTCAGAGAATTGTTGTTGCATAACCTCGCATTTCTGTCGGCACTGAGCTACCATCCTGTTCATTTTAAATTGCATTTCCAACTCCTTTTGCCCAATGTAGAACATCACGCTTCTATAAGCACTCTTCATCACTGGTCATAGTCAAGGTAACAATAGATATTGGGAATATTAAATTTGAGTCTGCCACACCCACTCTTGAAATGTTTGCTTCACCTAGTAACATAGGGAGCAAACTGTAAGGATACAAATCTGAGGTGATATCCCCGAGTTGGCCATCTGCACAAGTGTTAAAGAGAATCAGCATCACAGGATATTTGCTCTATAAGCTTGATGATAGAACAACAGACATGATGACACTCTACTGGATTTGCAGGAAAAGAAAAATATAATGTCTATAAACACTGACAATTGACAAGAGCCAGACAGGTGGGCAATAAGAATGATTCCAGTACCCCATAGAAACCCAAATGTTAGAGAAAGGATAAACCATGATATGAATTAGGATATAGCGAGGAAATAAGAAAGGAACTATTTCAGGAAAGCTTTCTTACATTTATCCATTCATCACTTGGATTGATATCCACAGGCTTCATGAGACTGAGGATCAAAATTTTGTATTTAGTAACATAAAAGATATAGGTGTGCAATCAATGATAAGAACAATTGCATAGTGTAAAGGTGGGGGGAAAATATCATTTAAGGTTCTCCATGCAAGTTTGTAAAATCAGTAGCTAAAACACATCTATTGCAGAAGAAAGGCCAAAACAGAAAGTTAACAATAAAGAAAAAAGGAGAAGATTCTCTTCAAGATAAGTCATATACACATCAAACTGTCTTCTACAGTTCACAACTAATGAAGTCTAGGCACTTGCCTTTTCGAGAGAGCTTGATCACAGATAGGGCAAGCAGCATCATTACTGAGAATCTTCTTGGCATCTTCTGTACCTATTAATATGATTAAGGAAATTTTTATGGACTACAGCCGCAAAATGTGGCAAAGGAATTCATGTATATATATAATATATATGCACACGGGGCGGGGCTACTTGGATACAAAAGATGTGGCCACAAGTGGTGGAGACGGCTTGCCCTTCCAATTCTTGCCAGCATGCATTGCACCTCATTTTGACATTCAAAGTTTATGACAAAATCACTTTTCACAATAGATGCTGGGAAATAAATTGAACTATCAGTTAAAGCAACAATAAGCTTCAAAATCATTCTAGGATTTGAATATCTCAAACCTAAGCATTTAATATGTAGCACTAAAGTACTAAACATAGCACTAATCCAGGTTGCAGACATAGAAAAAGCTGAGCTGAGAGAACCTAATCAGGACAGCAATCAGGAGTCAGAACCGGCTACAATTTTGAGGACTTTCTATATTTTCCAGAGGCAACCTGAGAATCTGAGATAGTGAAAGAGAGATGATAGCGAGAAGTTACAGATCCGAATTCCAAAAAGTTACTCCGTTGTTTGTCAAATTTAGAAGCTTAAAAAACATAAACGCTAATCATGTTTCGTCGGCAACTTGGCGGATTACTAAGAGAATCACCTGGAAATCGCCGAACTCGCATTCCAAATTGAAATCTGCGCAGTGATGCTGTAGAACTGCCTACAAGCGTTGTGAATTATAGTTTTCTCTGGGAAATCTGAAAATGACGATTTGAATATGCATTACAAAAAATGAAAGCAAATGGAAGATTGTCTATGCGTGTTCTCTGCTTTTAAAATCTGTTTTTGAAAATGGAGGCAAAAAATCTGTTTTTAAAAATATACAGAGTATTTCCCCGGGAATTGGCCTAACCATAAATAACCGTTGATATTTGGCTTTTTTTAAAAGGGATATAGCATTTTTTTTTCAATGTCCTTTCGTGAAATTGTAATTTCAATCCTTTAATTGTTAACATTTGTATTATTAGCTTTAATTTGTTAGGACTTATGACGTGACAATTTTAACAATTTGATAACTGAGACTTTAATAATTTATAATTTTAAATTAAGATTTTATTATTCTGCCAATTAGTAAGTTTTACATGTGCAATATAAAAAATTATGAACTTTAATAGTCTCTATTGAAAAGGAATCAAAACTACGCCTTAAAATTAGTGGTTACAAGTCACATTTCTTGTTAGGAACGTGTTAAAAAGAAACCACAAGTCACTTTTATTAATAATTAGCGCTTGAAAAAAAGACATAGGGTCACCTTTTGAAAATTGTGTATATTGCCCATGAATCTTCCGGGAGCTTTTGGTTTAAGTAATACAGAGTATAATATTACTTGGATAATTGAGTATATTAATGCGATATTACATTGTTTGGTTCAAGTTATAATATTATCTAGTAATATTATATTACTCTAAAGTTGGTGTCACAATAATTTGATTATCTTTGTTTAGTTATTGTTAACTAACTTTTATATAATAATAATAATAATAATAATAATAATAATAATAATAAGAAATGTGTGTGTGTGTGTGTATATATATATATATATATATATATATATATGAATTATAACTAGTTTAGTAAATGACTGTTAGCTGTTAGCTGATTGGGTTAATTAGAGGGTATAACTAGTTGATAACATTAGTTGATTATAGAAATGTGTTTAATTAGTAGATTAGATGTTAGCTGATAGTTGTTTGGTATAATTTATTTTCTCAAAAAGCTAATTGAAAAAGTTGTTTTGAGTAGCTTTTTGAATTTTAGCATTTTGGAGTACAAAAAAACTAATTAACCAAACACTTATATTAGTTGTAAACTAAGTCAAACAACTAATAGTGGTCAACTTTCCAAAAAAAAAAAAAAAAAAAAAAAACTAATAGTGGTCAAATAAGCTAAAGTTGACATATAGGTTAACTATTTTACCAAACAGGGCCAAAGTAGATTATTTTAGGTCAGTTAATGTGATTGAGAATTCTATTGAGGGTGAAATAATATGGCTCAGAAGTTGTCGGGAAGATAAATAAAGGTGATTAGCGTGACTGAGAAGTTATTTAGGATCCTGACCATGTGAGGTCGGGAGGCTCCGAGTTGAGTGGTGTAGGCAGGGAGCCCAAAGTCCCCTACAAGTGCGATAGATGTCCTTTAAATAGAGTGTGGAGAGGGGACACATGCCAATAGTCCCGCATGTGCTCCATGTGTCGTATGGAGATCGAACGGTGAAACTATGTTTGACAAGTGTCTTTAAAGGTTTGACCATGAAGGGATATTCGCAGACCGAGAGGTCTAATAAATGAGATCGGGAGTCTACTAATGATGAGCCAGAGGTCTATTACTAAATGAGACCGGAGGTATGCATGTATTCTCAAGGTCAAAAAATGCACTAGTGTGCTTGGGAAGTATACTAGTGTGGCCCGAAAATACACTAGTGAACTCCACAAGGCAATCGTGAGATCGAAAAATATATTATTGAAGTCGAAAAATGCACTATTGAGGTCAAAAGGTATACTAGTGTGGTCGGAAAATACACAAGTAAGCTCCGTGGGACAGATAGGTTGCCCTATAACCCTTTCAATATAGGCCCTTTCAATATAGGGTGGGGGCGGGGGTTTGTTTTTGTTTTTTAAATTATTTTATTTAAAAGTATTAAAATAAAATAAAATATTGATTTTTTAATTCAATAATCACTTCAACAAGTAAACATGTCACTTTCAATTCAATTGCATGATATTATATTATTCAGGGATTTAGTTGTAATTTTTTGAATTTAATAGTCAAATTGTAATTTAACGTGTAGATCTATAGCTTATTTCACATTTATTTCTACAAAAGAATTGATTGAACATTAGTCGGTCATATCTAACCGTCAATATTTGATTTACTACCCATAAAGACTGTAACAATTCTTCAACGTGAAGATATTCATTTTCAGAGTCTCAGAGAACTCCGTTTTCCCAGGGGACAGGGGTGCCGTGACGTCCGTGCACATTTGCATCACCACCAGACACGTGTCCAACTGCCTCCCCCATACAGAGTCACAAAATCTGACCGCCTTGATAAAATCTAAGAAACTCCGTAATTACTCAGTATAATAATAACGCCAATAATAAATTCTTACAAAAAACAAAGAATATCCTCTGATCCACCCCACCCCCTCACTCTTAAACCCCCTTTCACATACTTTCCCCAACAACAACGAATACGATTCAGTCGCCGATTTTTTTTCCGGTCAGGTTTCCTTTTTACCGGAGAGAATAGCGGTGGCGGAAAGCTAGCTCTGGAGTAAGGTGGAGGATGAAGATTCAGTGCAACGTGTGTGAGGTCGCGGAGGCGAACGTGCTGTGTTGCGCCGATGAGGCGGCGCTTTGCTGGTCCTGCGACGCCAAGGTTCACGCCGCCAATAAGCTCGCCTCTAAGCACCAGAGAGTTCCGCTCTCCGGCTCGTCCTCGCCGATGCCCAAGTGCGACATCTGCCAGGTATTTTCGCGGACTTTTATAGGTAGTTGGATCGGATATTTTTTAGATTGAAACGCTTGAGGACATAAAAACGATTTTCTAATTGCTAATTGCTAACCTCGTAGTATATAGAAAGTATTCAGCTCCAGCAACTTTATTATCTCGAACTTTTGGAGTTAGGTGGATTGGCTTCTTTGTGAAATGCAACGTTTGTGTGCAGATAATGATTGTTTTGATTCATGTAATGTACAGAAACTACTGAGCTGTAGGAACTGTATTATTTTTATTTTATTTTTTTAGATAGATAATGATAACAGGAGCTGTAATTTTGTGCTTAGTCTAGTATGTCGGTTTGTGTTTGTTGTAGGAAACGGTAGGCTACTTCTTCTGCCTGGAGGATCGAGCTTTGCTCTGCAGGAACTGCGATGTTGCTATTCACAAAGCTAATGCATACGTCTCTGCTCATCAAAGATTCCTGCTTACTGGAGTGAAAGCGGGACTTGAATCTATTGAAGCTGGTCCATTGCCCTCCTCCGGGAATTCACAGTCTGGGAAGAAGGTCTTAGAGACACAGTCTCGTTCTGTTTCGAGGACAAATGCCCCTGGGCCATCAAATCATCAATATAATGAAGTACCACCAGTACAAATAAGTGGGATTGGGGATCTTGCACCTACTAAAGCACAGCTTGGGGGTTCTGCAACTGTAAATGTTCCACAATGGCAGGTGGAAGAATTCCTTGCGTTAAGTGATCTTGATCAGAATTATTGTTATATGGACAATAACTCATCCAAGGTATGACTAGATCTATTATATGCTATACTGTATAGTGTATACATCAACTTGTTCATTTCAGACCAGATTCAGAGTTTATTTACCAGATTGCATTTGAATTTTAAGATATGATGATATGTTGTTGTCAACGTCTTAGCTACACGATTTCCACAATTTGTTCAGATAAGGGATAACCATTCAGTTACTCTAGCTTAAATTCATCGCTAAAAAGTACATAAATGTATGCTCCTGAAGCCACAAGGAAAATTCTGAACAATTAGTGTCTGTAGGAAATCTACCCTTCCGATTGGTGAGCATATTGATTAGATATAGAGATTTGAACCAATATACAAATGTCTGTGAGAGGTCAGCAATATGAAAGGATTAAGTGTGCTGTGACGTTTAAATTTTGTTTCAGTATTTACACCTGTGTATGTTAGAAGATACAATTTATAATTACTTGCTTGATAATATGTTAGGGTAAAACTTGTGAGTAGAAAAGTTCAAATGATGTGTAGAGATTCTCAATTTGATGCTTTGAACAGATCTGAAGACGACAGGCAATACATTTGCTAATGTTCATTTCTTCTGTTCAATGACTTCAATCAGGCTGGTAGTGGGAAGGTCGGAGGTTCTGACTGCTCCTCTGTTTTGAAAGTCATTGAGAAAGAACCAGATGGTGATGAGTGCTTGGGTCAGGTGCCTGAGGCACCGTGGGCTGTTCCACAAATTCCTTCCCCGTCTACGGTCTCAGGATTTTATTGGCCTAAAACATACCGGAATCCATTTGATGCTGCAGTCTTCGTGCCTGATGTATGTTACACCCCCTTGCAGAACCCTCACCATCAACAGCCAAACAGTACTAGTTCTAAACGGAAAAGAGAGTACTAGACTACTAGTTCAAAAAGACACTAGACTACTAATATATTCACTCTACACTTACATACGATGAGGAATTAGGAGTTTCACTGCTTTTTTCATGTTAGCTTCTGTGCTTTAATTGTGTCACGAAGTGTTGCCTTACTGCATGTAGAAATCGTTGAGCTTATCTTTGGCTTGGGAAAGTTAACTTCCCACTCTGTCTGTAAGTATCCCTCGGCTCTTTCTCATCACACTAGTATGAAGGATCATGAAACTAAGCACAGAGGATTTATTGCAACTCTTGTGCTACTTGTGCTAAATAAATGCCACGAGGACCCTACTTTTCTTGTCTTGGCAGTTGACAGACAATGATGGTCCGAGCTTCAAGCAACATGCAAGTATTGAATGATTATATTGTACAAAGCGAAAGCAGCAGATGATTTGTTAGCGGATAACATGAATGGATGATGCAGTGTTTACCTCTTGATCTTGCTGGATAATGCATGCCGACAAGAGAAGTGAACCATATTCTCTCTGGGCACACCTGATAAAGATGTTGACACATAACATGAGGAGATAGCATCAGTCCGCAAGATCATATGATCAACGAATGATTGTAATGCACGAATCATTCAATCATTTGGATTTGTTTTTTTTTGTTATCAGATGCAGCTGGGAGTGTCTATTCCTGCTGGACGTGGATAAGGATAGATGCCAGATATGGACAAGAGCAAATGAAAAATTTTCTCTGTATGTAATAGCCTGAGAAGATGTTTGATAGATTTCTCGTTTGTTGCTAACTCGTTGTCCATGATGTTAGATGTGTATCTGATATCTCCATGATATTATGTTTATTATGTATTTTTCATTTACAATGAATGAAAATGTAGCTTCTTTTTTTTTTGAATGAAAATGTAGCTTAGTAACTTCAAGTTTTTAAATTCTGGATTTTAAGATTTCTTAACACACTACAACCATTTTTATAGATCAAATTTTTTCTTAAATTAGGTCGTACGTTTGCGATGTAGCCAACCTCGTCTAAAGCTGTGCTTGTGGAGTTGCGGGCCAACTTTAGGACGCAACCAACATTTATGGCTTGTGGAGTTGTGGGGCAACTTTAGAGTGCAACCATATATTATACATTAGGGCAATTTTTAGCTAAGTTGGTTAGACAATTGGTTTAGTAACTATAAAGGTTTAAGTTTAATTCTCCGTGTAAATTGTTTATTAGTCTTCTTGATTTGAATCTGTCCTAAATTATTTTTTTCGACGTCGTTTATTATGTTAAAAGTTTATGTGTATTATGTATTATGTTAGATTTGTGTACTATGTTATGAGTTTGTGTATTCTACAATACAATTCTGTACATTTGAAACATGGAATTTTTTTTGAAGTTAATGGTAGAAATGGGAAATGAAATTTCTAAAAAAAAAAAAAAAAAAACAGATATAAAATGACGTCGTTTTGGCCATGGCGCAATGCATTGTGCGCCCTGGTGCATGATATAATTTGTCGTCTTGAGCATGCTCTAATTGTAGGAGACACCTTTAAGCCTGTATCATACTCAGACTAATCTTCATTTTCACCGAATCGGCCTAATTAAAGGGTAAAGTGCTGGTCATATTAATTTTCCTATACGAGAGAGGATTTGAACTTCCGAACTCTTTTTGTGATTGATCATATGCTTATTCTTTGTAATTTTTTGCAGGCTAAAGTCACAAAACAAAACGAATAGATAAGAAGTATTTTGTCACAGAAACTCGATGCATTTGTGAGTTGGACGAGTATGTTTGATTAAAGTATGAATTTATTTGGACCAGTAAGCAAAGATCATCATGCATAGACGATCCACTAAATGCAACGGGAATTTAGCGAAGCAAAAGCTATTTTCGCACTTGCAGCATGTGAGTACCTTCCTGCTGGATATTCTAGGACCAGCTAAACCTGCAACTTGGATAGTACTAAAAATAATAATAATAGTAATAAAAGAAGAAACAAAAAGTCATGAATGAATTAATGATTGAAAGTCTTACTTAATTAACATTATTTAACAAGTCTTCCTAGGATATTCAATGTTGTGGCCTGGTTTCCCATACTGACACCTAAATGTCATAACGTGCCAGTCTCTCTAGACTTAGTTGTATCCACTTAGCCCTGAAGCTATATGCTGCAAAGTCTAACTAACCATTATTATCCCTCTCACCAATAATTATTATTCATAATTAATTACTTTGACCAAAATCACACGTTGTTTAATCTTTTATAAGTGATTTTAGTTCTTCCAGAAGACGTTTAAAGTTGGTTTTTTTTTTTTTTTTTTTTTTTTCAAAATAAAACTGTATTAAATTCTAGGTTTTTAATGCCTTTGTCAAATTTTTATAGAAAAAATATATCGTGAAATGTACCTGACTATTGAGTTTTCGAAATGCTTAAAAATTACTCAAATTAGTGATATCAAGCAAGATGTACTGGTTTAGTCTAAACTCAAATCACATGAACCATCACTAATGTGTTGTATTGCGCCATAACCCTTTAACCCAAATAATATGAAGGGTGGCATAGCATGAAGAGTTTAGTCCAAATTCATAAATTCTATCAAATGGTAGAAGATTTAATGTAAATGGTAGACAAAGTGTTATGTTTTCTTGCCTTATGATATAGTCTATTGTTCTACACTATCAACCAAACAACAGAAGAAGAATCGTTGATAAGTGATAGATAATGTTTCAAATGATTCAGTTGGTACATGGTATGAAACATTTGATCATGCATGCATGTAATACTAATAATATGTTGTTTTAGGTAAACCAAATCATTGAACCTACCCTTAAGAGGCGAAGTTAATCACCTCCAAGACCGCAACACCTCTGTCTCACATAATTGTAGATGGGTAAATCACAGTGATTTAGCGGGTCTTTTAGATTGGAGCCTGAGAGGACTCATGTCATAATGATCGAGTCCACCAAAGCATTAAACTTTCTTTTTGAGTGACGATGAAAACATATAACTACTATCCAAAATTGTGCACTAAGTAAACCCTACCTTGTGACTTTATCCGAAGAATAGACTACAAGAATATAAACCAGTCTTGGATATCCATACCTGACAGCTCGAACCAAGAATATGAATAGATCAATTCCGTTGCGAATTAAACTTGTAATCATGATTAAACTTGACAAGCTAAGCATAATCAACAATACGTCGTCTTTTTATTGAAAGCAAACGAGCTTCTTTAAGACGTTAAATCCGCTCTAAGGGCATTCAAAATAAAGACAGGAGAGGTACAAATCCACTCTTCCCAATCAAGAAACGTAACAGATTTAATTTCCTAACTAAAGCATCGGCAACCCAGTTCGCAGACCGTGCTTTATGGGTAGAAATTTGTGTATAGTAAAACTGTGCCTTAATTTCACTATACATTAATCTACAGTGAGACTACTCAAACTCAGCACAAGTTTTCACCACAAACTAACATTCTAAAAATTACATTCTCAGATCACAACATTTTATCCGTCGAAGATGGGAAAGTAACCGAAGAAACACAATTCTTCATGGTTTGTATGATGTCCGAAGCAGATGGCCTCAAGCTGGGAGGATCACTGAGGCACAAAGCCGCCAGGGAAGCCATAGCCATGGCTTCTTCCAGTTCATATTCTCCGGCGAGACGCCGGTCCACCATTCCGGCAACCTTCGACGCATCTTTCAACACCGGACCCACTTTCGATATCAGCCTGACATTATTGTCCGGCGAGAGAGCTTCAAGCCCCGTGATTAGCTCCAGCAAGATGACTCCATAGCTGTAGATATCATTCTTCTTTGACGCGATCCCGGTTCGCAAGAAATGCGGGTCGGCGTAGCCCGGAGAGCCGATCATCTGGACCATGCGGCGGGACGACGGCGGGAGAACGGTGGAGGAGAATCCCATTTTCGCCGACCCGAAATCGCAGAGCTTGCAGTTTAGGCGCGAGTCGAGGAGGATGTTTGCGGCTTTGAGGTCGCCATGGACGATCTGGAGATCGCAGTGTTCGTGGAGGTAGTCTAGGGCTCCGGCGAGCTGTACGGCGATGGTGATTCGGTTCTTCCATGGGAGAAGATGGGAGGTTTTGGATGAGTGGAGTTTATCGTGGAGAGTGCCGTTGGAGACGTATTCTAGAACCAGAGCTCCTTGTTCCTCGTCCTCGGAGAATCCGAGGATCTTGACGATGTTGTCGTGGCGAATCTTCAGGAGAATCTCCAGCTCCTGACGGAATATTCTCTGGAGGCGCTCGCTGCTCCCGTCGATGATTTTCATCGCCGCCAGCGTAGAATCGGTAAACTTCCCGAGATAAACAGTACTAAATCCTCCATACGCTATCACCCTCGACCTCGCGAAATTCGCCGCCAATCTCCCCACTTCCTCCCTGCTAAACCTCCTCACCGCCACCGCCGCCGCCGCCGACCCTTTCTCCCCTTCTCCGGCCACCACCACCTCCACTCCCTCCCCTTCCACCACCGCCCTTCGCCGCGCCTTCATCCTCAAACACCCAAAAATCGCCATAACAGACACCAAAACTACCACAGAAACACTGATAACCACAACAACAACAACTCCACCCGTGCGGCCGGGATTTATAGGCGGCGGAGAAGTCCCAAAAATGGCGGTTGGTGGCGAAGCAGAGACGAAGGAGGGAGGGAAGCAAGAAACCAACAAAAACCCAAAAAATAAATAACAAAAAAAACGCCAACCACAGACAACAACTACTAATAAACCCTTCCCTCTCCTCCTTCCTCCATAGCTCTGCAAAGGATTCGGATTAGGATTAGGATTAGGATTTTGATTTGAGATCTCTCTTCTCTCTCCACCCCAAAAACAATCCTTTTTAATACTAAGCCTGTTGGGAGTTGAGGCATCCATGACAACAACAATATAATATGGCCGCCTGTGTAAATTCCCAAACCCAAAAATCTAAATTCTTTATTATCATCTCAAAAGTAAGAGTACTGACAGTAAACTAAATTCTTTAATACCGACCACCAACTACGTACTACCCCAGTAATAAAATACCCATTCATCAATACTAAGAAAAGGAACAAAATCTAAATCCGCGGAGGGTGATCGAAATAGTATTATTAGCCTTATTAGGTAAAGTAATACTACTCAACTTTTACTATCTAAAACTATGGTGAATGGTGATTGATTGATTATCTAATTAATGAGGTGATAATATGGTAGTTAAGTAATTGTAATATGTCCTAAAAAAATAGGTGATTCCAGCTTTATATTACCATTTGATTATTTTTCGAGAATATCTTGATTAGGTGATTGCAGTTTTATATAACTCGGTTTGTATTAATGGAATAAATTTGAATATATATTTTCTTTTTTAGGGTAGGATTGATTGTTTTTATGTTGAAGATTCAGTATAAAGGATAAATCACGTGATATGTAGCGACAAAACAAATTTCATATCTAGTTTTTTGGTCCTTGGTAGGATAATCGAGAAAGATATATATAATCGAATCAATAATTTTTAGTGAAAATGATGTATTTGGTTCTAAGGTTGTAGCACAACGTATAGTCTTAATTCCTAGTTAATAGCATAAACTTTGAGGTCTAACTTAATGTAAACAAAGGTAAAGGTACTATATAGGAACTTGAAATTTGTTAAACTATAAAACGCTATGAACATTGGCCTCAAGGAAGAGGATAAGATCATAAATCATATTTTCATATTTATCCATATATCAATTAAGATTTTGTTTTATCCTTTATTGATTTCGATCTCGTTCAAATCTAATAAAATATTGACAAAATAAATTAAAATCACTACTTCATGAAAAATTAAAACACCAAAAATAAATAAGGCATTAATTAAAAATTTGATTTTATGTCTCAAATATAACCCTTACAAACCAGCTTAATTGGCTGAATGGTTGTCCACTCTCCTCCATTAAGAGATATCGGGAGTTCAATAAATCAAATCCACACCTCATAATCTTATTTATAATTTTATATTTATATATATATAACCTTAACAACCAAATACCTCAATTTTTTCTAATCTTAAAAAAGTCACAAATAACTTCCCATTCTTCAACCCACTCCACATTTATTATTTCTTTTTGACAAATGAAAAGTTTACCAAGTAAAATGGGATTTGGAATTTGGAATTAAAAAAAGATTAAAGAATTAATCATGTGGTTAGTACAGAGTTTTCAAGGGGATAAGAAGGCTCAAAAATCAATCAATCAATAAATAAATAAACAAATAAAATAAAAATAAAAAGAGTGGAATATGAGAAGGAAGGCTTACTAGTCAACTTGGGTTACCAGCGACAGCTCAACCGGCCGGCTTCTCTACTCTACACAAAGGGCCCTCTTCTTTATTCCATTCATTCGTCACTGAATGTTCATCAGCATCACAATGTGGATACATTACACTCTCTCCTCAAATTCATTTTCAATTATAGGGAGAAAAAAACTAGTTCATCATTGAGGCAACAACCCAAGCAAGAGGCTTAACAAATCCCTGACAAAGATCATATGCTGTGTTTGGGTGGGGTGCAAGCAAGGCCAAAATAATGTACATTGAACTTAAGCAACTAATACTTAGAGAAATGCATTAGGTATTTTACAAGTATGCGATGCGACTTGGCAAGAAAATCCCTTCTTTTCTTGTCAAGAATCTCGAAATCTCGGCGTATTAGTATAAGACTTTCATGTAAGGTTCCGTGTTCAATTTCTTTTTTTTTTTTTTTTTTTAAATTCAATTTTATTTCAAGAATTCCAACATAATTTAATTTTAACTATTGTTTTCGATTTTTTTTTTAAAGTTCGAGATTATCAAAAGGGCAATGTTAAATGTAAGGGAATTTGCATATTCATTGGTGATATGTTGATCAATTTATAAATGACCAATAAATATATTTAAAAAAAAGTTGTGAAGTCGTTTTGTTTTATTCAAAGGCGCCCATACATGCCCTAAAGAAGGAAGTAGAGGAGGGGACAACCCTAGTCAAGTTAGTCAAATTGTTGGTTTGATAACCACAAAGTTCCAAGTTCGACTTTTAGTAGGAGTGGTCTATTGGTCTTCTCGATTTGAACTGGTCAACTACGGGTAACCTAGGATCCTACGCTGGTTTACATCCTAGTGCTCCTTTGTCGGCTAGGGTCACAAGGCAAGCTTCACCCAGAGCCTACCTTTGAGTAACGACTGCAGATTTTCTTGAGCCTACCTTTGAGTAACGACTGCAAATTTTCTTGTAAAACAAAGTAGGAAGCGAAGGATGATGCTTAGGTTTGAGTTATTATTAAAAACCATGCTACATACTTCTACGTTTACCCTTCACAAACCGCCACTCCCTAATGTAGCAATTGCATTTTGTGGTATGGAAGAAAAAGGTAGGTGTTGATTGATTGTATTGTTTTTATTTAATATACAAAATAAATAAACATCAAGCGCCCATGGCCTAATGGATAAGGCGCTTGACTTCTAATCAAGCGATTGTGGGTTCGAGTCCCATTGGGCGTGTGCTTTTTTTGCTATGTACAGTCGGTGATTCATCTCTTTTATGTGAGCCTTTTTATCTAAAAAATAAAACAAAAACTGTGTTTCAAAATAATAATAATAATAAAACAAAAACTGAAAGAAAAGCCACGACTATTTTTGTGCAGAAATAAATGAAACAAACACGATATTCATGAGTTGTCGAAATTGTGTCACAATAATAATTGTTGTCCATTCATATAGTACAGAAAGAAGAGAGGCAATGACAGGAAATCTCAAACTATTGGTCACAGGTCAATGTTTTGGTACAGTACCCAATGTTTTGACATTAATGTGTATGGTTATGACATCTCCTTTTTCCCCACTTCATAACCCCAGTCTTGCTGGAACAATCACACATTACAGTAGAGTAATAATAAATAGTCAAAAAATGCGGTTTTGATATGTCACAGATTTATTTTTTGGATTATACATGTTAAAAAATAAAAATTACTATATATAATATTATCTCAACCAAGGTAATCAAGTGGGTGAAATATGATTTGTATATTACAAGGTTATAAGTTTGATTTTTGTCAAATATATTTTCAGTTAAGTCTATCACACATGATCTCCCTATTGTTCTTTGAAATTTGCAAGGTTTAAGTAATATTTCCTTGAATATCCAAAATACTAAAGTTGTCTTGACAGTTTTTTTTGAAAAGGAAGAACAGAACTTGTATTAAGCAATCACCGAACTAATAACCTCTGGGGGTATACCTAGCACGAGCCACCTGCATCTTGGCTAAGATGTGAACCGCTTGATTACAATTTCTACGAATAAAACGAACTACACAACCAACATAAGATATGTCCATCCCACCCTTCCAGAGATCGAAAGGACCAAATCTTATTTTCAATTTTTAAGGATGGATACCAAAACCATAAATTTGTGAATAATTCAAAGGCAAGAATACCCTTTTTTTTCCCTAGTAAATAAACATGTTGTCAACCCCCAACCACCTTCCATTGAAAAGGCAACACAGTTGTAATCTAGATCTAACCAAGTTCATCAAAGCATCATATGTATTCACATCAAGGTAGTTGCACTTGTTCACATCACATCTCCTTTTATTCACCTTTTCATCATTATGGGTTAAGATAACACATTCCATGAGACCATGACACAAAAGGATAAATAAAGTGCAATTCTAATGTGTCTTGTGGTCACCATACATATATTCTACAACGCTGTTTAGGATGTGTTCCGAGATACATTTCAACTGTTCAATCAACTCAAAATAAATCCATAAGTTTTGCTTTGCTAACAGCTATATGGTGAGAAGTCTAAGCATCAGCCACAAAATGCAGTCTAACCAAGACTCGGTCCAACCAAGATTCAACTAAGTTAATTGTATTTTATAAAATATGAATACCAGTATCATACACAAAAAAATCCAATCTTGGACTTGAACTTGAAGACCAAACAGTTAAATGACAGTATAATATGTAGAATACATAACTTAAATTCAACTACGAAGAAGAAAAAGAATTACATAATCTAACGTTAGAATAAGCGTATATACAAGTTACAGTTTTTTAAAGTTTATTAACCCGTAACAGCCTGACTTGGTTATGTTTTTTACATAAATAAACCGGCTGTTCTTGAACAGTTAAAACGGTTTTACAGTTATTTTGAAGTGGAAGACTATTTGCCGCATTAGGATTGCAAGAATGGTGCCCATGAATATGTTGATCACATTCACAGCATCATTGTTGAGCTGGAAACCAAAGCATATAGAGTTACAGACTTACAGAAAACATATGTATGAACGCAAATAGCATGCGTGTTGAGCATATAATGTATGAAATATAGATGTGTAGTCGAACAGTTAGCTAAAATGGAAGATTGATGGCTTACCCATTGAAATCCTTGCTTCTCCTGAAGTGCAGCGCCTATCAGACTTTCGCCAAAGTTGGCAATTTGGGAAGCCAAAACGCATATAGCCACTTCGGGTATATTTATCTGCAAAAAAGCGTTTTAGCCAGCAGGTGAATTTTGAAATGTAAAGTTCTTCCAATCTCGATCTTTATAATTTCAACCTTTTAGTGCAAGAACACAACTTTTATTTTGACCTTATGAGGTCCTAGTTCAACACTGTCTTTTGAGTTTCGATTGTAAAGCTTTTGAAAGTGAACAATCACCCTCGACTTGGTCAAAATCTACTATACATATTTTAGTGTGATCATAATCAAAAGGCATCACCGCTCATATGTCCGTACCTGACCCATTATACAACCAATGGAGGCCAGGAGAATTGAAGCAAAAAGTCCAGCCAAAGTCCCCTCAACGCTCACTGCCCCTTCCGTTCCTCTTGGAACTACCTTGAGTGTCGTGACGAGGTATCTGTAATTGAAGTTCGAGCATCTAACAGTCAGTTTCGATGAAAGAGATATTCTTGCTAGAGTACATACGCATTCTTCCATAACTTGGTAATGAAACAAATAAACTATATACAAATTGCATATGATAACTACCCACGAGCAAGTACCTTGCTAAATTTCACTCTGAAAACTAGCCAATCCGTTTCTATTTCAAGTAACCGACTAAGAATCAAAACTATACTGACTCTTACCAGGCTTATAGTAAACCACAAAACTAAGAACAAATTGAAGAACCTAACACTAGATTCCACACAAAAATGTTGGCTTTTTTTTGTTTCCTTAATACTGGGAAGGACCTAGAAGAACGAAGAAAATTTACTCAAGAGAAGGGAAGCAACACTGACGTTGTTTTACCATATGCCTTCCCGATCTCGCTTGAGACAGTATCACTCAACTTAGTACAGAAACACGCCACAAATCCGAGTTCCCAAAGCCGAGAGAATGCAGCTCCGCCAATCCTGTTAATTGACAGTAATGCACACACGCATGCAGATGCACTGGAACCGATCACACTTCCGGTTCCTCTCCTTCCACTCCTCTTCTCTGCAATACCTTGAGCTTCCTTCTGAGCCAACTTCACCTTAGTTACAGCTGTCCCCTGGTAAACTGAGATTACTTAAACAGTCTGGCACTCCATCATACACTCTTGTTAATCAAATTCCATTTGTCACTACATTTTCATTTAATCATAAAGATTATAAGTAGTGATCACAAATAAAGTTATATCTATACCCAATTATGCTTGAAGATAGAAAGTAATTAATATAAAAACAAAATAAAGCCAAAGTTTTATTAGGTTGTTTGACTTGGTAACAACAAGGTTTCAAATTCGAAGCCGACCTTATTGGTTTGAGCCGGTTACCATACAAGATTTATCTGTGAATAACCTCGGGTAATAGCTATGTGTTTCCTAGTCATCCAAAAACAAGAAAATAAAGCCCAAAAAAATCATTTTTATCCAATTCATAAGTACATGGATGAAGAAAGATTAGATTTTGGGCTTACAAGTATGAAGTACATTGCCGCAAGGAGAAACCCAGGGATCCAAAAGGCGCGCCAAGTGAGAGTGGCGAGCAAGAAAGCCGACGCCGCACCGGAGAGCGACAGGCCAGAGACCAAAAGCGGAGAACCGAGGACGAAGATGATGAGGTTGCTAGCAACGGCGGACTGCCACGTCGGCGGCGAGGTCAGGACCAATTGGACTACTCTCTGTACTACCCCGAGATCGGTGGGAGCTGCTTGGGCTCTGACAGAAGGCTGGATGTGCAGTCTCTTGAGCGGGCTAGGGTTTTGGATTGGGAAATTGGAAGGAGCAGAAGAGAGATTTGAGCGGCGAGAAGCGAGGAATAATGAAGGGTGATGCGGGAATGTGAATATTGGAGCTAAAGTCGCCATTTTTGAGTGGTTGAAGAAAGTGTAAGCAGCCTTGTCTGAGCTGAAGCTGGAGAAGAAAGAGAGGTGTAATCAAACCGGCTGGTAACCAGCAAAGATGAAGAAATTCATCTATGGCGGGTCCACAATTCGAAGCTGGATTGGAGACAAGTGAGGAAGAGGCAGCTGTTCACTGCCAAACAGGAATAAATTTCTGTTAGAAATTTTAAAATTTCTTTGATTTTATACGCCCAAAAAACATGTAAAATTATGTTACCATTTTTTTTCTATACTTAGGAACACACTACATAAAATGTAACAAGAATTCTTTTTCTAGTAATTATAGGTACCTCTCAGAGATGACTGCTCCATACTCAAAATCAAAGATCAAACACTTAACCTTTTGTATTACTAACACAAATTGATATCAAAAGATGTTAGCCATCCTAGATCAAGAATAAAGATGTATTCTTCCTTGCAATTTGAAAAAAAAAATAACACATACACACACAAGAGTACAAGACGGGTCTTTGCAACGTTGCCTAATAGGTGTGTGGCAACCACCCTAATTAAAATTTAATTTTTTAATCTCTCTTTAAAAAAAAAAAAACGTTTTTTATTGACCCACCAAAAATTTGAGTAAAACCCCATCTGATAGGGATGCTTTAATCGTGTGAACACCGTACCGATACAGCCATGGCATATTGTCGATGCTACCAATGAGATTCTTAGAAGATTGGCATAAACTATTGTTATTGTTAATATACGAGAAAATAACCGGACAACATATACTTCTAGACTGTTGTATCGGAATGGGAAGTTTTGTTATTGGGGGTGTGTACCAGTGTATATATATACTGAATAGCAATCATGGTAGGGGAGAACTAAAAATTCATTTAAAAGCAAGAAAAAAAAACATATTTGTAAATAATTTAAATTTGAAATGCATCGAGCAATAAGTGTTTTTATAAAGTCACAAATGTTAAGTGCACACTTATGTATATTATCAAATATATTTTATAATTTAACTTACTAGACCTTATCATTTCTATTTTTTTGTTCCACCTGTCGGACACAATGACTAATTCCTTCATTAAATTGTAGTCATTTCTTTTAGATGTGACAGCTGACCTGCAAATTTAAGGCTGCTCTATACCCAAAGCCAAGGATCGAACCCTTGACCTTTACACTTTCTGTGCATCATAGGCATCTTGCTTTCCCTAAATCTGCACTAGTCCTCCTATTTCATGGCTGTGATTTGAAGGGAAACCCCCAATATGTCATTATGAGATGAATTATGCCAAAGGTTGGGTCTGATCCACCCATTCATCTGCAAATTGCAATAGATGCACGCAAAGGCACCACCACAAAAGTCATCATCTGCTGACTGCTGGCTGGTCCTACAACAAGTTCTCATGTCAGTCAGGTCCCAATTATGGCCCCTAAACTTCAATTATAGCCACTGTTTCTTTCCCCTAATCATCTGCTATTTCATCTTCACACATGATGATTAGCAGATGATATAACAATCAACCCCAAATTAAAGTAGATGAATTTTCAGCAGGTTGAACCCAGATTTTCTTGATGGAGACTGTTGAAAACGCAATCTGGTGCCTTTCTACTATCATTACAGATAACACTACACTATCATCTATCAACATCCTACCATGCAGCTGTCTGTGAAAAAGAAAATTTTGGAAATTATGGGCCAGGACAATAAAATGTTTCTTTGGGGTTTAGGACCCGGTATCCCCACAACTGCGGTAAAACTAATCTGGATTCAACCCGAGTTATAACTTATAGCATCAGGTATCCCCACCACTGGGATAAGACTAATCTGGCTTATAGTTGCATTAGTAGTCTCCATTACAATAAAGTGAATGAAATTTCGATTCGATATTTAGTTTGATGGTAACTAAAATTATTTTTTTAGATTAAAGACATAAAAACATACAGTATATATAGTATAATGCACAGTCGAGTTGGATGTTTTTCACTTTTCCTTCCATCCCAAGCAAACCATCAGCTGTCTTAACATTATCAAACTTGTCTGCCACCTTAAAATTCACTCCTCTACCAAACATCCAACTCGATTTCCTTAATTTAATTTCTTATTTATTTTTCAAAAAAAAAAATATTCCAAACCCCTCATTATATAAGCACTGATGTAATATGCTTCTCTCCATCAGTGCATTATAACTCCATTTTTTGGATCAACCAGTAAAAGAGTGTGCAAGAAAGGAAAAATGAATCAGAACACTAACCTCTCGGTTTTCTTGTTTGTCTTCCTCGTCCAATGCACCGCCATTCTTTCTCAGTCTCCAGCACCAGCCCCGGCACCACCTGGTCCGACGAATATCACCGCTATACTTGAAAAGGCTAGCCAGTTCACGATGTTCATCCGGCTGTTGAAGAGCACACAGACGGATGACAGGATCACCTCAGAGCTCAACGGCACAAACCAAGGCCTGACCGTCTTTGCTCCCACAGACAACGCTTTCGCCAATCTGAAAACGGGCACCCTCAACTCCTTTGACGACGAACAGAAGTCCGAGCTGATTAATTTCCACATGCTCCCAATGTTCTTCTCCGTCTCCCAGTTTCAGACCGCCAGCAATCCCCTCCGCACACAGGCTGGTGGCACTAGCGACAGGGAGTTCCCGCTGAACATCACCACCTCGGGGAACTCTGTGAACATAACTACAGGGATCGTCAATGCCACAGTTGCCAACACAATATACACCGATAACCAGCTAGCTGTGTATCAAGTCGATAAAGTGCTGCTTCCCTTGAAATTCTTTGTGCCACCGGCTCCAGCTTCGGCTCCTGCACCTTCAAAGCCAAAAAAAGGATTGCGATCTGCAGCTTCTTCCTCCGGATCAGATGATGACGCCCCAGCTGACTCCTCTGGTGTTACCTGTGTCATTCAAAAGGCGTTGCAGGCAATAGCCTTTGCCTTTGCTGCATTTTTCTTGTACTTGTGAGAGACTGCAACTGTTATTTTATTGTGATCTTGTGTGCTAATGCTGTTGTGAGTTTCATATAAGTAAATCATTGTTTTCAAGTGAAAAAATATATAAACATCAAATTTTATTTTATTGCTTCAAATCCAGCTACTTACTCATGACCTATTAAATGCAGTAAACAAAAGATCCCCCATGGGGCTTGAAGTGCATGGAATAGTTTATTCTCAGAAAATGAGAAGTGAATATATACAAAAGGGGAAGTAGCATGAATATATATTACGGTGTAAAAGACATCATGAAAAATGTTCAATTGAACCCAGAACTATCTTCCTTGCCAAGAGCATAGGCATAACAAATAAATTCCCTTAACTATGCTGGCAAATTAATTGAATCAGAAGGAAGCTTTTGCTGAAGCCAACCATTTTGCAATATTAGATCGCATGGTGGCAGGCTTGCTATTAACTACAACCCATTCTGAAGATTCTTTCCCCCTGCGCAAATCAAATGACAGACGAAAGGTAATTTCAGTTGTCTCGTAAGAACATTTAAAAAAGCAATCATCGAACTCCATTGATATCTGTGGGAAGTGTCGAGGAGAGATTCCATGTATACCATATGGGTCCAAATGAGCCCTCCGGAAAATGAGCCGCTCCAACGGCAATCCCTTCAAATAAAGGGTCATGACTGAGGATTTACCAAAGTTGAAATTGAATCCTTCTTTGGATATGCAAAGTACTTTAAGCTGTGGGCAACTTCGGTTTATTGCTCTTATAAAATGGTGGAAATCTCTCCAGTAAAACTCACCAAGGTTTATCCTCTGAAGGCACTTCCAGTTGCTGATTGCCTTTGCAAATCCTGTTGATGTTATCTTTGAAGAGCCAAGGAGTTCAAGATCTATGAGATTAGGTGTCCTAAGCATGTGGAAAAACTAGAAATCAATACCTTAGAAACTTCTAAAAGACCAAATACTGTAGGATTTTTAGAAATACCTCTCAGCAACATAGAGCAAGTGCACGTCTGAGATATTTAAATTACGAGGAACACAGAATTTGATAATTGAGTTCCTCCACCTTTCTAAGGGTCTTCCATGAGCGTCACTGCCCTCCATTATACTCTTCAACATGATCATCATTTTGACCCCTAGTTGATTGTGTTGATTTTTTGAACCGAGTGCGCTCCTCAAGTGATCACATTTTCTGCACGAGGCCCCCAAGCTGAACACACTGCTATTCCAAAATAAGTGATCCCAACAAGCTATTCTCCACGAGGTGCAAACCAATGACAGAGTCCAAAACAACTCATACGAATCGAAGTGGCGGAATATATTTCCAAAGACATTAAGATCCAAATTTTCCCATTTCTTAAGGTGCATTTGAGACATGGATTTTTCTCCCTCCTCTCTGCATCTCTTTTGGTCCTCCTCAGCAGAACCCAGTTCACTCAATTTTCTTTTGTTTCCAATATCTACTTCTCCATCTCCATTCCCTCCGACTATCATCTCAGCACTTGCACTGTCCTGCATAGTGCAAAACATTCAGACATGCTAGTAAGTCCAATGCTTCAGCTCCAATTTTTACATGAAATAGCAGAAAATTTACACATTTATCAACTATACTCAACCCAGTGTCTCAACCGTCCTATACTCTATACCAGGGTTTCTGATTTCTGAACCCTTTGTTATCTTGCAGAAACCAATCCTCCCAGCAGCTATCCCACACACTGACCTATCCTACCTCCAGGATGAATGACTCTGCCATCCTCCTTAAGGCGTAATTCAATAGCAATTTATATACATATCCAAAAATGATCCCTGAATTAGTAGTTCAGATCATATCATTCTCCTTAAGGAGTAATTCAATACCAATTTTATATACATATACAAAAGTGATCCCAGTATTAGTAGTTCCCAATTATAGAATGATTAGCTATGAACTATTGAACTACCTCCCCCGATCTTTCCGCAAAATTGAATTACTTACTCTCTGCTACCCCTCCATTTCCCCAGGAATTCGAAAACAAAAAACTGCGTATCCCACTATTCCTCTCTCGTTCTATAACAAAATTGCTACGCAACCGATCATCGGAATATTCATGTATGTATAACGCAGGCAGACGAGTAAAATGAGCAAAAAGCAGTCGTTTAACGCGATACCTCCATGAAAGCGAGCTGCGGCAGTGATTTTCCCTCCAAGATTAAGCAACTATCTGCACCAAAAAACTCTGTTAGATTGCAGGATGAAGTGTAATTATAGAGTGAAGACTGTAGAATTCTGCGTAGATTCTGGGAATCAAAGCATCAACCGCTTTCCGCTCCATTTTCACTATCCGCCCAATAAAAAAGGAAAAGAGTTTGTTCCATACCAGTATACCACTATCACTTAACATTTAGTTTTATATTTTATGTCTGATTCAATTAATAAGATTTAATTAAAATTATTTTTAATTTAATAATATCATACAAGTAGGTTTAGTATTAATACAGAATTTATATATTTAAAAATTAAAATACTATTATTAATCAAAATAAATAAATAAAAAATTAATTTGTCCAATAAATAATAAGTTGGACAAATAAAATGAAACAAGTCAGAAAAAATACTAAATACTGTATATATGTTATTTTATGATCGAGTGACATGAAATGATTTTAATTTTAGTGGTGTTGAAAAAATATGAACAGATACCAAAGTATAATGCAAATAATGAAGTTTGGCTGTTACTCCAAAGTTTTTTTTTTAAATAAAATTATATTACGTCAATATCTAGAATTTTGGACGAATTCTACGTATAAAGTTACAATGAAAAATGAAAATGAAAATGACATCTATTCGAAAGAAAAAATGTTCTTCTAAAATTCAGTACACCTTCGAATAATGGTTATGAGTTTCCATCCAAAACAAAACTCTTTCTTCTTCAAGGGAATGAATATAGACAGTTGTTGGAGTAGGTACTCAAAAATGGAAACCTCCGAAACCGCCGCCGGGAAAGCCTCCTTCGAAGTGGAACTCGAAGTTACCGCCACCGCCGTGGAAGGGGTGGTGGAAACCGCCGCCGCCGCCGCCCATTCCTGAATTCATGTCATCAATGTCTTCACCGCTGTCATACCGCGTACGCTTATCCTCATCACCAAGGACCTGCAAGAAACAGAGGCATCTCTCACATCAATCAATGTATTAACAGAAGAAATTCTCCATTTTTATTGGAGAAATAGAGAATCTATGGAAACCAAACCTCGTATGCTGCTGCTATTTCCCGGAATTTGGCCTCGGCTTCTTCTCTGTTGTCGGCATTCTTGTCTGGATGCCATTGCAGAGCGAGCTTCTTGTAAGCTTTTTTGATCTCTGATGCAGATGAAGTTTTCGAAATTCCCAAAATCTTGTACCAATCTTTCCGTTGGCTCAACTTTAAAGATCTCTCAGCCCGCATTAATACTTCGCGGATATTTCTATCCTGTAATAGTGAAAGTTAACGGACCTTTAAGCATGGATATTGGAACAGATAATACGAAAGATCAAACCTTTCGAGAAAGAGAGTAATGTAATATCACAAGTACATGAATCCATGAAGAAAGAAGGATGATGTATATAGAAAGTTAGAAACACAGTTAAAGATTCATTCTAGGCAAACATTTTTCATTTTCAGAATTCAATACAAACCTGTGGAGATTTTTCGGCTGCTAATTTCAAATCTGCCACGGCTCCCTCCCAATCTTCTGTCAAAAGTTTTGCTTCACCCCTCTGGAAAATGATTCCCATGTCAGCAAAGAATTATACTAGCAGCTAGTAATTATACACACACACACACACACACACACATATATAGGAAATTAGGAATGCGGTGATCCGAAATTCCTACAAGCATTTTAGAATATCGGTTTATACTTGGAAGAATAGAAATTACGGGGTGAAAAATGCAGACCTGAACTAAAGCTTCAACAAGTTCCTCATCAATTTGTAGTGCGTCCGAGCAACTTGTAATGGCATCCTTACCCCTGCCAAGCTTCACTGATACTTTGCACAAGCCAAGATGAAGATTGACATTATATGCAATGTGGTTTGGATCCAATGCTAGAGCTGCTTTATAGTCTTCCACAGCAAGACGAAGTTTACCCTTACTTTCATTTTCCTCTGCCTGCACAGAAGAAAAGCCACATTTGGTAAGACACAAATGGGGGTGTTTGGTAAATAATTGTTAGCTGATTGGGTTAGTGGGTTTGAATAGTTGATAGCATGATTGTAGAAAGATGTTTGGTAAATTAGTTGTTAGCTAATAACTGATTACATGCAAAATGACTTTCTCAAAAAGCTTATCGAAAAAGTTGCTTTGATCAGCTTTTAGAATTTTAGCATTTTGGAGCAATAAACTGTTACAAAAAGCTAATTAATCAAACACTTATAAATGTTTAACCAAGTCAAATAGCTAATAGTGGTCAAAGAAGCCAAAATTGGCTGATAAGCTAACTATGTTATCAAAAAGGGCCAAAGTCAAACATATTCTGCAATGGTTTATACAAAGGGACAATAAGAAATGCCTACACTTTTTGTCTTCTTGAGTAGATTCTTCAAGCTGAAATATGCTTTCTTCAATTCACTATGCTCAGGATCTAGTCGAAGACCCTTCTGGTAGTGCCTGAAGAATAATTGAAAAAGGATTATGGAGAAATAGACCTTTTATAATTGCAAATATTCCCATTCTAACCTAAATAATAAAAGGCGAGGTATAGAGTCAGGGATACAAGATACTTAACAAACCTTAAAGCAACATCATGATCAGCAAGATAGTAGTAGGCACGACCACGTAGCAACAATGCCTCTAGATTATCTTCATCCTCTTTAAGGATGTATCCTGCCTCTGATATAACACTCGAGTAATCCTTAGCTGCTAGCAATAGCCTCACCTTAAGGAATTTGGCCTGATAATCCGTCGTTTTTAAGTTAGGTATTACACATTACAACAAATAATTACAACAATAATGTTAGTATGTTACAATTTAACAGTCACTGTACAGTGTATACCTTTGAGCAGGCTGGAGAGAAAACAAGTACAACTTTATCAATATGTTCCAGTGCTTTTGTAAAGTCTCCAGACTCAAAGAGATTCATAGCTGACTCCAAAGCACCCTTAGCCTGCAACAATTGTGAAAGTTCCCTCTCTGCCACTGAGTTCTTATGTTTCATCTCCAAAAACTTCCTGTAGTTTCTTTCTGATTCCTCATATCTACATTAGCCAAAAACGGCCTGAATCATATAATTTTCCAATCAGATATTAAAGCAAGAAAGAAAGGGCCTATATGATTTCTTTTTCCTACTACTCATGAACAAGACATCATATTGGACGTCATAAATTAAAAGATGTGATCAATGGGGTATGGGTAGAAGTTCAGAAATGGTGGAGAAATTAATAGTGCTCTAAAACAAGAGGGAGTATAAACACGACCAACACTATTTACAAGCCTTATGAAAGAAAATTTAAAAGTAATAAGGTTATGTTGGGAAATTTATCACTAGAAGATGTAGCATACAATTCAGGATCTTCTTCAGCAAAACAATACACACCTACCACCTTAGAAACTTATCGGTAACAGAGAGATAGAGAGAGACCATCAAGTTAATGGCTTTCTCATCCTCATATGGTACAGTGCTAACACTGAAGTATCTAAACAAAGGTGACCTAAGAGGTTTGAGCCAATTGTATGCTCCGTGAAGGGGGGCAAAACCAAACACTGAATGTCTGAAATATTTTGAAAAGCAAGAACAATGCTTTCAAGCAAGTGCAAAATGCTCAGAGCCCAAGTAATATTTTCCTCGAAAATTAACAAAGGCACTATTCTCATGGGACTTATATGCATAAAGCAGAGCACTATCACTTTACCAACATTTCATATGGGAAAATATCCAGAATAACAAGGGATATCATTCGGATTCCAATAATGAAATTGAAATGGAACCTGCATAATTGACGAAGAACAGATGCACGATGCCAGTATGCCTCAGAATGCGCAGGATCAGCGTCTATAGCCGCATTAAGGTCATTGAGGGCCTCGCTATATTTCTTGACTTTGACATGTTGTTGAGCTCTCTCAAACAGAGCAGCAGCATCACCAGGGTTCCCATCTACACAGCAACAAGAGAAATCAGTGAGGGGTAACCAAGAACACAAAGGTAAAAGGAATCAACTAGTGCTCATTATTCATTAACCACTCCCCCAGTTTCACCAACTGCACACAACTATACATTTCAGCAAATAATAGTCTCGGCGTCTCTATATTAATACAAAAGAGGGAAACTTTATGACTAGACAAACAAATTCAATAAAGTTTGAATCTTTACACTAGATTAACGGATCAATTGTTGCTGAAACGTGAATTTGAACAGGTAAATCTGGACATTCATCATTTACAGCTCAAACAGCAAAACACAAACACGCACGCAAATACTACATACATATAACGAATCCCAAAACAAAATTTAAAAATCGCAGGCTCGCAGAGAATGGCGAAGTTACCTAGCGCAGAAACGATGGGTTGAAGAAGGAACAGCTGACAAGTGAACACGAAATTGAGTATCAATGCCGAGAAGAGAAAGCCCCTAAACGCCACAAAATCCAGACTACACAGCTTCGTCAACGCCTCCATCTCCTCAGTTCTCAACCTTCAACGCCTGTGCATCAATTACGTGCAAAATAAATATGCGTGTAATTTCAGTGAGTTTTCACGGTGAATAGCTCCGTTCAGCGCGAGATTGGAACTTCTGGGACGATTTCGAGACGGCGAGCGAGGGGATTAAATATGAATTGAAATCGAAACAGTGAAAAATGAAAAAAGCAGTGTTCCACGTTGAGCGAACCTATTGTTGCGCTCCACGTGGATACTGGGACCCATACGATATTGCTGGTTGATCCACTTGGAGTTTGCCACGTAACAATTGCAATTGCAATATAGACCCGGATCCATATTATCCCTTGAAGTTGGTTGATTTAAATATAATTATACACATGTCAATTTAGATCAAGGCATATGATAGAAGCGTTACGTTAATACATGGTTAATAGGACAACAAGATACGTTAGAACTTAGGACTAGGGCTGTAAACGAGCCGAGCCGAGCTCGAGTATGGGTTGGCTTGAGCTTGAGCTCGATAAGCATGGTTCAGTTCGAGCTCGAGATCGATCGAGCTTAAAAAATGATGCTCGAGCTTGGCTCGACAATTTTTTGAGCCGCTCAAACAGCTCGATTGTTCGAGTTCAAGTTCGATTTTGATCTATTTGACATATTTTAATTAATAATAAACATTGTTTTATCCATACATAAATAATAAAAACTTTAAAAAATTTAAAAGTCCAAACTTCAATGTTTAAAGACTCCAAACATTCAAAACAAGTTTACAACTCCACTTTAATTACAAGTCAATAGTAGACATTGATCCTTACCATATATATAATATTTATCTATTAATTTAATTATGACTCACGAGCGGCTCGACAAGCCACGAGCCTAGAATATTTGAGCTCGAGCTCGACTCGTTTAATAAACGAGCCACTCGAGCTCGATTTTGACCAAGTTCGAGCCGAACTTTGACCGAGCGGCTCGCAAACCGCTCGACTCATTTACACCCCTAGTTATAACAAACTATTAACAATGCAATATTGTGACAACTAATGATTATATATAAAAATGTAAAGTTGGATATCAATATATAATTTTGTTTTAAAAATGAAGAAGATAAACACATAAAATAAGAATTAATTCCATCAAAGATTATTTGTCTTTGGTGACAATTTAAAATTTAGTTCAAGAAATATCATTTTTACCATTTAACATCTCATACTATTATCTTCTAGACATTTTTACTCATTCTTACTATTGTTTCTATTTTTAGTAAGGTTTTTTATCTTTTCATATTTTTCTTTTATTATTTTTTTATTTTAACTGGTTTAATTGGTTTAGAACTTTAGACAACCTCTAATTTTTTAGTAATCATATTTAGTAAACTGGTTGAAACCAGAAAAAAAAAACATATAAAAATGTCCTTATTAAAATATGAAAAGTCATGAGAATAATTAAAAGTATCTTAAAAATAATAGTATGGGATGTTAAATGGTAAATGATAGTCTGAAACTAAATTTGAAATTACTACAAAAGACAATAGACCTCTAGTGAAATTTACTCTATAAAATAATGTATGAAAATATAAAACAGTTATGTCATTAACAGTCGTGAGACAAATTGACACCAAATAATTAAAGAAAAGTAAACGAATGAAATAAACATGTAGATGCACAAAGCAAATATATTTTATGAAATGACATATTTATATATAACTATTAACAAATATAACTATCAACATAACCCCTCACAGTGCAACCTCATATAACATAATCTCAAATTGAGCATTTATCGACCAATCTCATATAATAGTTGTGTCCAATCACTTTAAGCTACCAACTTTCGCCCATATTAAATAGACTTTAATAAATTTACTAATAACCCACAGTAACTGCTCCAGTTTACCGACATGGTAAAATACCTCAATCCATATGTTAACGTGGGACCCGCGAGTGGTCTCCCGGTCAGAAAAAGTGGGAAAAAAGGTTGTCTTTTTCACCAATTCCCGTAAACATGACCGTTGCAGCTTATACGTGGCCTTCATACGCAACCACCGCTTCTCTTCTTCTTCTTCTTCTTCTTAGTTCTTACGCTCTATCTCTCTGTTCTGGCGATTTGTTAAGTCTTTTCAGGGAAAGCTTATATTTTTTGGAGAAATTGATCCTCGGTCTTGAATGGGTTGGAGCGGAATCCAGCAATGACGTCACTCCCAGGTGGATTTTCCGGCGGAATTGCAGCGAGTTTCTTACTGTTATTGTTGTTGTTCTGCTTCTCCGGTGGCATCGCGGCCACTCAATTTGACTTCGGGACGTTGGCTCTGAGCAGTTTGAAGCTCCTCGGCGATGCCCACTTGAGTAATAACACAGTGCGGCTCACACGTGACCTCGCCGTGCCCTACTCCGGCGCCGGGAAGGTGTTGTACGCGGAACCGGTGAGGTTCCGGCAGCCCAGGGATAACGTTCCGGCTAGCTTTTCTACATTTTTCTAGTTTTCCGTTACGAATTTGAATCCGTCGTCAGCCGGCGGCGGTCTCGCGTTTGTCATCACCCCGGAGGACGAATCCGTCGGCGATGCCGGGGGGTACATGGGGATCATGGATGCGAAGGGGACGCAAAACGGCGTCGTGGCGGTGGAATTCGATACTCTGATGAACGTGGAGTTCAAAGACGTTAACGGGAACCACGTCGGGCTGGATTTGGGGTCGCTGGTCTCCGATCAAGCCGTCGATCTGGACTCCGCCGGCGTCGATCTGAAAAGCGGCGACCTGGTCAACTCGTGGATCGATTACGCCGGCCCGAGTCAGCAACTCAGCGTCTACGTCTCCTACTCCAATCTCAAGCCCAAAGCTCCGATTTTTTCCCTCCCACTCAACTTAAACGACCACGTGAACGAGTTCATGTTCGTCGGATTCTCCGGGTCGACTCAGGGGAGCACGGAGGTCCACAGCGTTGAGTGGTGGAGTTTCACCTCATCGTTTAACGGGAGCAGTCCTAAATCCCCGCCGCCAACCACCGCACCTCCGGCGTCCAACGCCGCAGCCGCACCGCCTGGGAAATGCCGTAGCCAGCTGTGCAAGGAAGGCCCCGGCGCAGTCGTCGGAGTGGTCACCGCCGGCGCGTTCTTTTTATTCCTCGCCGGATTCCTATTCGTGTGGCTATACTGCAAAAAGCTCAAGAGAGTGAAAAAGCCAGAGACTTTGGGGGCAGATATCATCAAAATGCCGAAAGAATTCAGCTTTAGGGAGCTAAAATCCGCAACCAAGGCGTTCGATCCCAGCCGGATCATCGGGCACGGCGCCGTCGGGACTGTCTACAAAGGAATCTTGACGGGAACCGGCGCCGCCGTGGCAGTCAAGAAATGCAGTCACGGCAGCGGGGAAGGGAAAGCAGAGTTTCTTTCGGAATTATCCATCATCGGCACCCTCAGGCACAGAAATCTAGTGAGACTTCAAGGATGGTGCCATGAAAAAGGTGAAATCTTGTTAGTCTATGACCTAATGCCAAATGGGAGTCTATACAAGGCACTATTCGAGTCAAGAATGGTTCTATCATGGCCACACAGGCTAAAGATTTTGTTAGGGGTGGCATCTGCCATGTCATATTTACACCAAGAATGCGAAAACCAAGTGATCCATAGAGACATCAAGACGGGCAACATCATGTTAGACGAAGGGTTCAATGCAAGGCTCGGGGATTTCGGGTTAGCAAGGCAAATCGAGCACGACAAGTCCCCAGACGCCACCACACTGGCTGCCGGGACAATGGGATACTTAGCCCCAGAGTACGTTATAACCGGACAGGCCACCGAGAAGAGCGACGTGTACAGTTTCGGAGCAGTATCCCTCGAGGTGGCTAGTGGGAGGAAGCCAATTGGGGGGGCTAATGGCAACTTGGTGGAATGGGTGTGGGGTGTTCATAGTGAAGGGAGATTGTTGGGAGCAGCTGATTCAAGGTTGAATGGTGAGTATGATGAAGGTGAAATGACAAGAGTTTTGATGGTTGGGTTAGCTTGCTCTCACCCTGACCCCATGGCTAGACCCACAATGAGGGGGGTGGTTCAGATGTTGGTTGGGGAGACTGAAGTTTCACTTCTCCCTAGACCCAAACTTGCCATGGCATTGGAAAATGATAGTGTGTCTGACTTGAATGGCATGATCACCATCTCCACTTCATCTTCTGAAAATGCAATGGACCTGGTCTAATGGGATCACATTTTCTTGTTTATATATATTCTTCTGTTTTATAATTGTATACAACACATGAAATTAAATTAATTGCCATTTTAGGTTCAATTAAATTAATTTATATTGTTTATAATTTCGTGTGTATTTGTATAACTTATTAGATTGCTAAATAGTCCTGTAACGTGGCCTTAAAATTGATAGGGTTAGGGTTAAATTGATAGGATGGTCAATTAGCTTTTGTTAACAATCTTATAAGGGACGAGATACCAATATGGATTCTGGAGGAAGAATCTATGGCATGGAAGAAACAATATGTGATTCACTTCCCCATCCCATTGGAAGAGAGCTTTAATGAGACAAATTTGTTCTTCGCTAGTAATCATGTTGGGGAAATTGTTGTGTTAGTGATGCTGAAGAGATTCGTTTCTATTTTATTATTTTATAACTTTAGAAAACAGAGTTGGATATATTTTGATATATGCGAGTTGCCTCTACTTCAGTCTGTAACCCTCATGCACTTCATCTCAGACAATGTCTTTTAAATTTCTTATTAATATGTTATTATTGTTTATTTCATGATTGAATACATTCTTCGTCTTATTGAAATTACTCAGCATTGCTTCCTTCTACTATAAATTGTTTTGTTTTTACCCGGAAATCGCGTCAGAATATATATAGGGAAGGGTTTAGGTGCCAGTGTGCGAGTGATTAATGTGTGTGAGGTTTGTACTTAGTGTGTGTGAGTATTGTGCTCAAGGCACGTGAGTGTGTAGTGTTTAATGTGCGTGAGTAGGTAGGTGCGTGATGTTTGTACTTAATGTGCGTGAGGTTTGTGCTTAGTGGCAACTTGGTGGAATGGGTGTGAGGTGTTCATAGTGAAGGGAGATTGTTGGCAGCAGCTGATTCAAGGTTGAATGGTACAACGAGAAGCAATTATATTGACTATTTTAGATATTTCAATCATATTTGCAACCAAACAT